ATGACTCCTCTCATGTTCTGCATACAGAGTGCGAGCTGCTGCCCTGTGGTAGGAGCTTTAGAGTGCCTCATTGCAGCCTCGACATATTTAAAAACCATTCATACCTCTGTCTGTAAAGCTTTTAAAACAATGGCAGATAGAGAACTGGAATTTGATTATGATGATTTGCATTTTTGTAGAGGTATTTTTAGCATGTGATGTTATCTATCTATCTCTTTTGTGTTTTGTATAATGTTGATTTGTCTATGTACTATGTTGTATGTTGTATTTCTATGGCTGCAGTATGGGTGTAGGGCCCAAGACAATTTCCCACACTGTGGGACAATAAAGTTAATCTTGATCTTGATCATGTTTGCTTAATGTGGGCAGACTTGCTCTCTGTAAACTACACTGGGACATCCTTTCTTACAACATACTTACCAGTTGATGAAGGAGCTTTTCCCAGCAGAGTGGTTGCCCATCAGCATCACAGTGATCTTTTTTCGGGGAGGCAGCAACCTCACACCAACAGATTCAGCGACTGTGATCAAGCCTGGAAAAAACACAATGATTTTTTATTTTATTTTTCTATGTAAATTAAAGAATACACCTATCAAGTTAGACTGGAGCCATCATGGTGCTGTGGTTGCACCTGCAGGACTCAGGTCAGGCAGTCAGGACCTGCTGCTTGAGTGAGCTGGGCTGGAGCTGGAGAAGGGCCACAATCACTTCTGTAGGAGTAGTTATTTTCATTAATAAAAGCATTTATTGCTTTTTTTTTGGAAAAAAAAAAAAAAAAAGCTGACAGTGCGTTCACGGTACTTAATTTCATTCATTCATTAATTTTCCGGGGACCCAGAATTCCTAGCGACGCCCCTAGATGGACTCTTGTAAACTGACCCCAACCAAAACTCACTTTATAATGAGGTACAATTGCAAAAACGCTGTTATCGTGTAGCTGACTCACCAGTAATTAACTGGCAGCTGGCTGTTAAAACTAGCATTAATGCTAGCTTGCACAACGTCAGCCAATTCATAAAGTCCTTGCTTAACAGCTAACGTTAGCTAACGGTTAGCCCCCTGTAGCAGGGATAAGGTCTCCAAACTTACTAAGCTAGCTAGCTAACCCCCGGTCAGCAAACAGTTTGCTAGCTTTATTATATTGACAATTAGGTCAATGTTGAATGGATTTCCAGCGAAGGTTTGTGTCCAGCAAAATATGTCAGCCAACTCACCACTGTCGGGATCCGTGTACAGTTGATGACAATCCCTCAGGATGCGTTCATCGCAGGACACCCCGCCGCTTATCGACTCTGCGTTAGCGGCACTCCGGCTCTTGATCTTCCCAGACATTGTGATGGTATCAAACTTCTGGAGAGACTTGCTGAAGTAGGAGAATCTCTGAACAAGCTGTGAACAAAGCCGGTTTGCCTTATTTGAATCGCCCCGGTCCGTTGAAACACGGGGCTGAGACGTACACCGGCCACGTCGTCAGCGAAAGCGGCTTTTGTCGCACAGGCTTCTGGGTAATGTAGTTCTTCCACTGAGTTAATGTAGGCCACTTTGACTTTGCTTGATTTTTTGTTTTTTTCTGCAATCACATAACCTAAACATTAAAAAAATAAGTAAACAAGTAAAAATAACAAGAAGAATATAATGCCTCAATAAATACAATTTTAAAACTGTTTTAAATGAATGGATGGCCTATAAAAACAAATGGATGTGCCTTTATTGTCTGAAGCTAAACATCAGCATCTGAAATTGGGAGTCTGGATAAAAGTAAGTTTGTAAGAAGAAAAAAAAAACAAGTGCAATAAAGATTCATGTCCTGTTCAACAGTCATGACTATATTTCAAGACTTGGTAAGACTGTCTGCTGCACTAATGCAGTTATGGCTGCAGTAAATTTACAGGCAACCATTTACCCTAAGATTATGAAATACTTAAAAGTCCTATGTCTGGAAATTAAATCCATGTTGCTATAATGTGTTCATCACTGAGCATGGCCTGAAAACATAGCCATTAACACCATGCAAATACAGTGTATAATTTAAATGTTCCCAACTTTGAAATAATCTTTTGCACCTCCTTGCCTGTCTGACTGAATTGACCTTACATATTCCATATGTAATGAGGCAGTATATCCTGCTGCTGTCTGAGGAAAGTATCTGTGTGGTTCAAGGCCACTCAGGGAAAACATTACAGTTTAGTAAATCATTACAAACATGACCATCCATTATACAGAAGTAGCCTACAGAGAGTGTTTTGGCCTGTATCCAGCTGGTGAGAAGAGCAGTCTCAGTGCACACTACACAGACAGTACACAATGTACAATGAACAGATATTTGTCCAATTGAAATGTAATTTTCCATAGTTTTTATTTAGCTGTGAAAAATGTACCTTTTCACAACTGGAAGAGAAACACACTAGACACTGATGTAGATCACCTAAGATCAAACAAAAATGAAATAATTTCATTTTTATTGGTTTTGTAGCACTTCATAATGCATGAGGTCTCAAGATGTGCATAAACATGTGATGACGGCTCCTAATGCGAGACATAAAGACAGCTGATGTTACGTGTACAGTAAGACAATAAATACAGTGGAGAGTGTATAATAATCCTTAAGACGAGCACATACTTTATGGGGAAAGTGCAAAATCAACTTAATAATTCACACTGATTTACAATTTCAAGTGAGTCAAATGAATAACAAAAAACACGAGAGCAGACACTTTCAGTGCAAGTTTAGTAAGTGGACACCTCTTGGTTCATCTTCACATTATAGCATATACAGACAATCAAATCAGCAAAGCCTCATGTATAACTCCTCCTACGATTTATTTATTTTTTCTTGTACTAACCACAAGCCAAAATCATGAGGCAGAAAAGAAATCAGTGAAAACTTTTGAAGGCAAAGGTTAGAGGATTTTGTGACTGGCAGGTTGCCAGTTTGAATTAGTACAGTTGGGGCAATCTTACTGGGAAATACTCGCCCTTCCTGCAACAATAAATGTTATTAGTGCTCCGACTGTAAATGCTCCTGTGGAGCTGGTAAGTAGCCTGAGTGCACAGGAAGTCTATCAGAGCTGAATGTGCATCTGCATAGGTGTGAACATTTTTAAGATTACGCTATATAAGGCAGCTGCTGTATTTTAGTGACGTTTGAACAGCACACACAGCTGCTGGTATCGCACCTTTTGAATATCATGTCATGCAGGCAAATGTTGTAGCCTGAGCAGCGGTGAGAGCAAATAAAAAGGACTTGTAGGAATTGTGGCATTACATCAAACTATTGTGGACCTAATTTAATAAGTTGTTCTTGTAAGAGGTTCACTTCCAGCCACACTCTTATTCCTTTCCCACAAGTGCCTTTTTGGCATCACTACAGCACACAGATTATTAATACCACCTCTTATGAAATCTGTTAAAGGGACAGTTCACCCCAAAATCACAAATACATATTTTCCCTCTTACCTGTAGTGCTATTTATCAGTCTAGATTGTTTTGGTGTGAGTTGCTGAGTGTTGGAGATATCAGCCATAGAGATGTCTGCCTTCTTTCAAAGATAATGGAACTAGATGGCACTCGGCTTGTGATGCTCAAAGTGCCAACAAAGTGCATTTAAAAAACTCAAAAGCAATGTCTCTTTCCAGAAATCATGACCTGGTTACTCAAGATAATCCACAAACCTTGATGTGAGCAGTTTCATGTAGGAACTATTTTCTTTCCACTGAACTACACCAGCCAAACGTATTACTACGCAGAAGAAAGTGTACATCTACTCATGGATGAGATGCTCGTGCTTATGACAGCGCGAGATGTAAACATTAATAGCGTCCTCCTTGGCTAGCCTTGTGGTGCTAGGTGAGCTAGCATAACTTCCTTGTGCGCAGTGATGTAGTTGGCAGATGTAGTTCGGTAGAGAGAAAATAGTTCCTACATGAAACTGCCCACAAGGTCTGTGGATTATCCTAAGTAGGTCATGATTTCTGGAAAGTGACATTGCTGGAGTTTTTCAAATGTATTTTTTGGCGCTTGGAGCACCACAAGCCGAGTGCCATCTAGTTCCATTATCTTTGAGAGAAGGCAGACATCTCTATGGCTGATATCTCCAACACTCAGCAACTCACACCAAAACAATCTAGACTGATGAATAGCATTACAGCTAAGAGGGAAAATATGTATTTGTGATTTTGGGGTGAACTGTCCCTTTAACAGATTTCATAAGAGGCGGTATTAATAATCTGTGTGCTGTAGTGAAGATGGCAAAAAGGCACTTGTGGGAAAGGAACAAGAGTGTGGCTGGAAGTGAACCTCTGACTGTTATGTCCAACACTCAGCAACTCACACCAAAACAATCAAGACTGATAAATAGCGTTACAGGTAAAAGGAAAAATATGTATTTTTGATTTTGGGGTGAACTGTCCCTTTAAGAAATGTTTTTCTGTTGTTGGCTGCTTTCTGATAACAGAAGTGTCCATGTGTTAGTTTTTGTGTCATGAATCCTCACAGATACAAGCCATTTAATGCGTAATTCATCGCAAAGTACGCACAGCAGTGAGATGACACGTACTGATGTGAACGTTTTGGAAAAGACAGGCTGTCGAGTGTGAAATGGCCTTTGCTTCCACTGTCTGTTGCCACTTGAAAACATGTTTGTCCTCCAGCTTCTGGCCTGTCTGTGCTCAGCTTCAGCACACTGTTCAGCTGTGTGTGGAGCTCCACCACATCTTTATATTCATTTCACATCTAAAGATCAAAGTCAGTCGACACTTTTTCATTTTGATTGCCCCCACGCCTTATCACACTTAAATTAATGTAGTATGTGTTTGGCAGCTCATTGTGTTTGTTCTTACATGATCACACTGGGTTAATGTGATCCTTGTTAACATTGAATAAATTATCATAATTAGTGCCAACAGAAATAGTGCAATGTGCCACTCAGTAGCATCTTGCGTTCTACAGTCTCATGTTAAGCTTCTTCCAAGCAATGAATCAAAATCTTTTTTATGAAAATGTACATTTCTTCTCTTTCATTTTATTTTCTGCAGCTCGTACATGGGCTGAGCCATGTCCTCTGTGGCAAAGTTTTCAACTTGCTGTTACATTCATTTCATACAATTTGCTATATCAATCTAAACCTACAGTCACAATGTTGCTGTAGATTGTACAGGGGGAATACGTATGAGTGCATATTAGGCTTTCAATGACTATGATTATTGGGTTTAAATTAGCAAGGGAAGATTCACAAAAGTTTAGGTGTCATGCATCCTTAATGCATCAGCACACATGGCTCTTAATGTTTCCTTCATCGACATGTCAGAGTCCATCGTCTTTAGTTACCAGTGAGCTTTCCTCTCTTTGGCAACCAGCTCCAGGAAATGGGAATGATTCGCAAAGAGCGGGAAGGACGAGTCAACATCAACCCACTGGACTTGTCCTGCGTCATCGCCAGCTTGGAGCGGCAGCTCGCTCACACTGTTGCCTACGGTAACGACATATGAGATATGTCATTGTCCTACAAAAACCCCATTTGTTGCCACTAGAGAGAAAATACTTCAAGAACCGTAACAAGGTTTAGATAGTTAGAAAGGGAAAAAAAACATTGGGCCTCATTCACCAACTGTTAAAGAAGCATTTCACTGCTGGAAGGACAGCCTTGTCATAAAACTGTGCTGTCTATACAGTAGAAAGATGCAAATACTTTTGAAATTGGTGCTACATGATGTGGGCTGTGGTATTCAAGGCCCTCATGTGAGGTGAGCCCACAGAGATACTAGAATGAATAATAGCTGTGGATGTACAGATGGGTCCATAGACAAAGCCTGTGAACAGGGTCCAGAATTTTGTGCTAGGCCCCTGACTACCAGAATGCACTGTGCTGCACAAGACCAATAAACACTCCCACTAGTGGGTAAAGTAATGCAAAGTGCCTTTAAACTGCCAGCTAAAATGTGCTTCAGAAAACATTTGAGGCCAGATATCAGCAACGCAGTAACAGAATCTTGGTTTATATTTGATCAGCGCTGTCTAATTTTACCGTTTGATTTCAGTGCCATCCAATACTTAGTGATTGATCATGTTATGTATAGGCCCAAAGTAGGTCTATTTCTGCATTCCAGGTCTATTTGCACAGTGGCAGATTTATTGCTGCTGCAAGATGTTGCAGATTAAGCCCTGGGGGAGGGAATGCATCTTCCAGGACCGTGTAGATCTATTTGCAAAGACTGAGAGGTGGTCAGAGTCTCTCTTCTGTGTTTGGCTTTTTTTTTTGGCCTCAGATTTGAGATCACAACCTACTTGATCAGCTGTGTGCTTAATTCTCTCAACTTTTATTTTCACTTTCTGTGCATTAATATAGCCATGTAGTCTTAGACACTTATATTTAGATTTCTCAGGGCATTTACTTAGACTTTTCTTCAGACCTTTCTCAAGAAAAGAAAACTAAGAATAAACTTAGAGAGATATTGGTGAATGAGGTTCATTCTTCTCCATTACCGATACCTGAGTCATCATGAAAGTTGACAGCAACTGTCTCCATCCAAGCATTGTCAGTGTTTCTAGGATCATCCACATAGCCTTTATAGACCTGAGGAAGAAAAAAATATATTTCTGATTCCCTCATGGAAGCATTTGTTGAATAAAATGTGACAGTGAACAAGTGAGTGAACTGCTGACCTGAAACCCTGGTGATTTGAAGAGTTTGGTGATGCGTTCACTGATCTTCGCTGTCTCTGCTGGCGGGACTGCCAACGAATTCAACGCTTCTTCTGAGAACTCCCGCTGCAGCGTGAGAGAGACCTGCTCCCCTGGATCTACCATGCCCTACAAAACAAGCACACACACACAAATAAACAGGCAAGTCACATGGCCGTGACACCTTACATACCAGAAACCACTCAAACCTGTCCATGTCTTAACATTTAATTCTTTTTATTGTCCCTGAGCATTCTTGAATAGCTGTGAGCAAATCATAATAGGCACACCCTAATCAATGAAGCTTGTAAAAGAAGTATAAAAGCCACCAACCCCAGGAATGGCCCACTCCCCACAGTCTTTCCTCTTGATGGACACAAACTGCAGGATAGGCCGCTTGGAGACTGAGTGAGATACCTTTGCTCCTTTGGCATCTACTTTCCATCTGCCAGACGATGACACACATTAGACCATCAGGCATTTATAAAAAACAAACAAACTGCTAAGTGCATAAAGTTCTCCATTTTTCTGACATGAAAGACAACTGTTCTGATACAGTGATACCATGTTTTGGAAGAACCTTACGTTGCCTGGTTGTAATGAATTATTGACTGGGTTTTCCCCGTTTGAATAATTTTTTATGTTACTAAATTGAGTAATGAACTATGGTCAGCAAGTGTGATAATGATACCGATGTGTAAAGTAAAGAAAAAGTTACCTGGTGACAATGGGATCAGCTGCGTGATTGGGTCCCCATCGTCCCAACAAACCTCTACCAGACACCCCAGTGCGGCCACGAGGATTTCTACATGGGTAAAAAGTATTTGTTTATGAGCAGTTTTAAGAGCATACGTTTACAAAAATCTAAATATTTTACAAACACAAAAATCATCAGAAAAGGGCACAAAGAGCACTGTAGAGCTTCCAATTAAACTCTTTAGTTTTTAGAAGAAGTGATCACAGTCCTGCTCTGGCTTCTCATCCTGACATGTGTATTACTGTTAAATATTCATTAAAGGAATACTTCACCCACAAAATGACCATTGGTATATAAATTACTAACCCGTTGTTACCTTTTGTGCATATGCCTCCACAGTAAACAAAGAAACCAAAAGACAGCAAATATTTTTGATGGATTGAAGTAAAAGGGGGGCAGGTTTAACAATAGAAAACTATATCAATACATCCATTTACAAGCTTATAAAACTTATGCAGAGTACTCCAAGTCTTATTCATCCAATGTTATGCTCAGTACTTCCCAAACAGATAGCCCTTTCCAGGAACTTACTGGAGAGTGAAACCTAACTGTGCTCTCTTCAAATCCAGACTCCATGGAGAAAAACAATAATTTCACCTCATTTAACATGGGAGCTGCTGCTCTACTGCTGCCTTCATCAAATTTTTTGCATTACTGCGTAACTTTGGTGTTTTAAAGGGTTAGTTCAGATTCCCTCAAGTCACACAACAACACAAACACAAACAAACTACCGATCTAGGCAGCAGTAGACCAGCAGTTCCCTCGTTCAGTGAGGTAAAATTACTGTTCTTGTCAATGAAGTCTGGTTCTGAAGGGAGCATTGATACGTCTGACTTTCTGTTCAGTTCCCAGTCAAACAGGACTGTCTGTTTGGGAAGTACTGAGCATACGACTGGATAAATTAAACTTGGATAATACTGTTGAGTTGTGTGAGAGCTTATAAACGGATGCTTAAACATATTCACAAATTCAAGGTAACGTGGGCTGAGTAAATTAAATACAAATGGTCATTTTATGGTGGAAGTATTCCTATAAGCAACATCTTTAACATTAACATTTAATGAAATGACTAATGTAATGTGAAAGGATTGCTAATACTAGAGAGAATCATCATCCCCATCGGCAGCTCTATGCAGCTGCTGCTACTGAAAGTAACATTTGGAGTTAACATTAAGAGTTTGCTATGTCATTAGCCATCAAAAATATAAAATCTGATATAATATACATCGTCTTGTTACTTCTAACTCTCTTTTGGAGTCTACTCTCTAATTATGAGGCATGTAAATCACTGACTGTAGATGTGAACTACCTGTTTTTGTGCAAAACCAACTGAGAGTGTAAGAACAATTTCTCTATAACTTACAGTGGCTTTCCTTTTTCTATTTTATAGGTGCCGCCGAAGCTGGTCCTGTCCACAACACCGTCCACAGTGTTGAACTTTGGAGAGAAAGAGCTGCGAGCAAAAGTCATCAAAACTGGCGTGAAAAATCTCCAGCTGCTGCTTTGAAACCAAACAGCATGTGTAACAGTCAGAATATCTCACAGCAGCCAAGACCCTAACTACTTGGTAACTACCAACATACATATCAACCTACTGCTCACCCAATATCAGGGTCCGCCCATGCTGGCTTCTTTAATACTGAAGGGTCAGTGTGGGAGACTGGATTATACTGCGGCCAGCTCTGACTCCAGTCCACCTTGTCATCAGGCACGAGTAAGCGCTTGACTTTGGACCCTGGATACTGAGGACATCTGGACTTGACATGAGGCGCTGCTGAGGAAGGCATTGTCCGGACACTGGTCGTGTAGAGGTGACAGCAACTGGCACTGATGGGTCTGATGGTTCTGAAAGGGTGAGAAGACGAGCAGGAGATGGCAGACCTGCAAGGGAGGAAATATGAGACATGGAAATCCAGTAAGTAAGTAAGGCGCGCTCTGCCTTCCCTGCAGCAGCATGGTCCCAGCCGGCCACCACCCACATGCACTCCTTGCTCCCCTGGCTCTTCTGCAAATAATGGAAACACTTTCCTAATGAAGTGATAGCAGCATTAATCTTCTGACATAAGCTGGCAACACATTAATTCAGAGGGAAACCAAACACTTGCAGATCATACCAGAACAGCAGGACAGCTGCAATTATACTGCAATACACATCTGTTGCATGATGGTTTAGCTATGATTTGTTGAATTTTGCACGACATAACGTTTCATATTATTATCATATTAAAAGGAAACAAAGCCTGGCTATCATTTTTGCATATAAACAACATTAAAATACAGTACAACGACAATAAACAGTTAGCTAATGCTTATGTCTACTTAAGTATTGACTTCAATCATATCGCCAGGCATTGATCAAGGACTTTGACAGAAACAGCTACTGCAGCACATACCTATGACCACTTTCAAGTATAGTGTCAGCTTAAAACTGAAACTGTCCTATAATGTCAAATAGTCACAGTTTTTAACGTTGGTTAAATCTATATAAGAAACGTTACTGTCTACCATCCATACCTAACTCCGGGGGAGCACACGGTGTACGGGAGTCCGAAGAGAGTGAGCGCCAGACGAAGACGACCGAGCCAGTCCCGTCGCAGAAGAAAATGTACCATTCCTTGGACAAATAAATCAGTAGTTAACAACCACAACACGCAGCGCCAAGTAACCAGGAAGTGCTCCACCCGACGCGGTGACGCCAACAAATGGGGTGTGGTTACGGCAGTCGCACTCGTTTCCATGGTGATAACATTCAAGTGTACCACAATAAAGGTAAAAATATTATACATAGATGGGTTGAAACCGATATAACGCTATATTTTATAGCTATAACTTAGACACAAGAAACACAATTTTGTTGCATCTGTTTTGTGTATCTAAATTATAAATATTTCATTTAAAAACTAGTAAATTCCTTTTGTCAATGAAGCTAAATTAACAATCAGATGTTGATGGGTTGAAAAAGGATAATTACCCACCTAGTCAGTATCTATTTTGCTGTAATGTCTGTTGTGAGGTGGAAAACCGCATTGGCCTTTTAGGTGGAAGCCCACAATTATAATAACAGGTTTCCTCATACATTAATGTCAATATATTTAAGGGACTGTTCGTTATTTATAAGAGGGGAGGGGTGGTGTAAAAGGGGAGGCATATTAAATCATTTTTAAGCAGTGGGGAGGGACTTATGTTGTTTATTTTGGCTAAGAGGAGGGGCATACAGCTTTAAATGGCTGTATTTTGTATTTATTTTAGCACAGATTTTTAAAGAAAACATGCCTCTATCCAAACCTGCTGACCAGAAACTGTGAAAACAGGAATCATCATTGGATTTGTAAATTTCAGAAATCCTTGAACAGATTATGTGGGAGGAATGCTTCACTCAGAAAAAAAACAAGACAAATCAAAGCGTAAAATAGTGATATTTCATCAAAATTCTACATGTTTCATGTAAAATTTTGCAAAAATAAAATTTGCAACAATTTGCACCAACTAACCAGCATACCAAACAAGAGTAAAAAAAAGCCATAGCTTTTTCCAACTCCAGGATTTGATCTTCAACTTTCAAATTTAAATCATCCAAGAGGAAGTTTTTAAAATCTAACAACTGAGTTAGTTAGTCAGTCAGTCAGTCAGTCAGTCAATATTTGTAACTTCGTGGGAAGGTAAAAAAAAAAAAATAAATAAATAGATCAAACATAAAAATATATAAAATATAAGGCTGCATAATACATATCCTCCTGAGACCCTGTGTCCTCATATGAGGACATCACATTTTGGGTCTACCTGACCTTATACTTAATTTTACTTAACTTAGACCTGCTGTCCTCGTTTGTGGACACTTTTGTTGTGCCACCACAATACACTAATCCATGTAAAAACAAAATGGCAGCCATCTGTGCCAAGTCAGCCTGCAGCCAATCCCGACACTAAAGTGGACAAGGTCCAAAACCTGATCACTTTTTAGGGTTGAACTTGTTTATTCATGATTAATGAAGTTTGTAGTTTAATATGGCAACAAATCTGACCAATTTTAGCAACAGTAACAAGCTAAGACAGTCTTGATTAGGAAGTACTCACTTGAGGACATTGGGACTTAATTATCATTGACAATGTATAGTTTTTTATACTTATCAGGTCATACTGATCTCAACTAGCAAGGAGAAATTAAAAATGCACAAAGGTTCGGGTCTCAGGAGGATATATTGTTGTTTATTGTCAACAATAATAATTGTATAATGTTTTTCATTACATAAACAGTGCTATACACCAAAGTCCTTATACATGTAAACAAAGAGTTAAGTTAAGTTTATTTACTTTATTAATCGCCCTGAGGGGAAATTCAATGTTTTCACTCTTGCTTGTCAATTACACACAGGTCCGAAAGACACACACATGCACAAACAGGACCTATACATGCACAAAGTGGAGAGATATCAGAGTGAGGGGGCTGCCCTTGGTCAGGCGCCCTGAGCGGTTGGGGGGTTCGGTGTCTTGCTCAAGGGCACCTCGGCAGTGCCCAGGAGGTGAACTGTTCGATAGCATAACGTCATGACGTCAGTTGGTGGTATACAGGGGTGGATAATCACAAACAAATGAATAAAATGAGTATTTGATCATAAAGTCTATTATTCTTGTCTCAACAGGCAGCATGCAACATATTTCGGCACGCCCACTCGTGGCTGCTGCTGCATGTTTATTTTGCAGATTGCGCTTGTTTCGCTGTAACATTGGAGCTGACCAGGCGGTGCCTGTAGCTAACTGACGCAACTCCGCCCGAGCAAGTCACCCTGGGAAGCATATCTAACGCACCTGTATTACCGTAGTTTGGCACGCGCATTTACGCTCGGTGCTGAGACCAAATCCGCGCTCGCGCACGAAATCCATTTACACTCGGGTAGTAGAGAGGGCCCTGATCGAGTCACTTTGCTCCGTCAATCAAACAATCCGTTCGGTTAAAGCTCCGGACAAACGTTAATCCGTGCTGAGAGCGTCGGTGGTCCCTCGGTGAAACACAGTGACAGAGCAGGAGCGGTTTGGAGAGGAAGAATGGCGGATTCGAGCAGCACTGCAGCAGCGGTCGGGGCCGCAGGCTCCAACTGCGCTTCTGCTGCCGGGGCGCCTCTCCCGGTTGCGCAGGATGGAGCGCCCGCAGCTGTGGGAGCCAAGCCCGCGTGCGAGTCCGTGAAGGGCCAGATGTTTGATGTTGGCCCCCGCTACACGAACCTGTCTTACATCGGGGAGGGGGCGTACGGAATGGTTTGGTGAGTTGTGCTTGTCGTCTCTGTCGGGCCACCGTAGTGTCTAAATCAAAAGTGCTAGCTAACATAAGCTGTTTGTTAGCAAATTCCGTTAGCCAGCTAACCATAGCTGCTGTATTCAACAAGCATTGCCCAGTAAATGTGACTGCGGTGTTGATGTGTGTGTTTAAAACTGCTGCCCAATATTCAGACATTGTTAAACCTGAAGGTAGCTCATGTTGTGGTTAGCAGGTTAGCTGACTGGCTACAGGCGTGGCTATGAGCTTTACAGGAAACAAGATTGAGAGTGATTGCGCAGGACGTAGTCTGCTATCCGACGAGAAATCTTTTGCAGACTGCATTTGACCGCAAATGTGAGCTAGTTATCGCTACATCCATGTCATACGTCCTGCAACAGTCTCACAACCACCTTGATCTCTGCTTAAATTCTGATTGTTAGCCTGCAGCAAAGCTGCTGCAGAGGATACGAGTGGGATTTATCAGTTTAAGCAAGGCCTTTCCTCGTATTATCGCTGTGTGAGATCTACAGCCCTGTGTGGACATGTTAAGCAACCCTGTTGCACTTGACATCAATGCCAAGTCATCGCAATCGAGGGTGAACTGTGAACAGAATCAGATGTGACAGCACTGCGTGTCAGTGCAAAGTGGACGGTAGCATGAGAGCTGGGCCCACACAGACATTTCAACAAGACACGCCGTGTGGATCACTGTCATCTCCAAACAGAAGTGTGTCAGCACTGTGTTATTTTGTCACTGTCATCACGGGGCATGTGATTCCACTTTTGCAGCATTTGGTGTTTGTAAACATTGGCAACACCCTCTGGTTTGTACAGTGAAAGAAAACCAATTATAGTTTAACCTTATGATTTACACTAACTTCAAAACTGCGTGTTGATTATTATCCAAGTGTAGAGATGTGATTTTAACCAACATACAGTGCTGTTTGTTCATGTCACAGTATTCCAGCCATGGCAGACAGCACACAGGCATGTGAATTTACTCAGTTTATGCAGTGTGTTGTGCAATAAGAAAAAAAAACGCCTTTACTAACAGGGAAGATGTGATGTAACCGTTGTTCCTGTTGAGGCTGAGTGTCTCTGTAAAAACCGAGCTTGGATGATTTTTTTCCCCCCATGCAAAGGGACAGTGAATTCAAGGGTCCCAGAAATGCACCATTCACGGCTGCTCTCAGCCTCCATCTACTCCACACCTACACCACACTGACACTGCACCTACACTCAGGCATACACCTACAGTACTTCACAACAAATCACAGCAAAAAGATGTGTGCATCTTGGCAGTGGAGACAGTCTGCAACGCCCTTTTGGAGCTTAGTATTAGCCCATTTTCTGATAACGTCATTGTGCGTGAATTGTACAGTCAGTGTGTAATATGAGACCTGTTTTGTGCTTCTTCTTTCCCCATCCACCCTACCCAGCTCTGCTATGGACAACGTGACAAGCCAGCGTGTAGCCATCAAGAAAATCAGCCCATTTGAGCACCAGACGTACTGCCAGCGCACACTGAGGGAAATCAAGATCCTGCTGCGTTTCCACCATGAGAATATCATCGGCATCAACGACATTCTCAGGGCACGGCACATTGACAACATGAGGGATGTGTATCCTTTAATGCTTTACAGGAGGGGCCATGCATCTGTCACTTACTCCCCAAATTAAGATTGAATCAAACCTGAAAGTTGAAAGCATTATTTTTATTTATGTAGTGCTGCACTTACTATAAGTGTAACACTCAGAAGGTGTTAATTAAAACATCCAGTCATTTTGCCTTCAACAACCTGCAACACAACAGTGTACAGTGACTTCTGAGGAGCAACAGCTCTGCTTTTTCATTTCAAGTGTGTGGGAGATTTCTGTCGTGAGTACACCTGACTTAGAAATGATCAAGGCAGTGTGTCAGCGTGGTGAGGTTACAGCAAACAAATAAACAAGGAAATATTAATCTAGCTTCCAGTCCTCATACTCAAGCCTTACTGTAGAGCCCCAAGATTGGTTTGAGCAGGAGTTCAGTGGAACAGTTAATAAGGAGCAAAACTGAGACAGTTGTGGCTTTTGTGGCTGGACAAGCTACTGTTTCGGCTATATATGAAATATAAACGGTAACAAAATTGTTTTGAGGTGCTGGGTGTAACTGATAATTACTTTAAATTACAGTTTGTACATTGATTTTTTTATTCATTTGTCCAGTAGCATTGTCTAATAGATGCTGGAACCAAAGTGATTGCAAAATACATTAAAAGTCATTTAGATGATTTTACCATTAAGAAATACAATAAGCACTGTTGTCCAGGCACAAATTAAATTAAAGGAGCAGTGTGTAGGATTTAGTGACATCTAGTGGTGAGGATTGCAGGTTGCAAGCAGCTGAAACGTCTCCCGTGTAAAGCCTGAACTCCTGGTAAGGATTCCTTTAGTGTTCGCCATTCATGATTGTTTTACCGGGCGCCGAATTATCGGTAGAGGTCTCTTAGTCTCCAAAACAAACAAAAACAAGTAATTTAAACCAGTAAAATTTGTTTGTTTGGTTGCTAACTACAGAGGCCAATGCAAAGATGCAAATGGCCCTATCTAGAACCAGTATTTAGTTTGTCTCTTCTGGGCTGCTGTAGAAACAAGGGCGTGTAACATGGTGGACTCTGTGGACAAGGCCCTGCTCCCTATATAGACATAAACAGCTCATTCTAAGGTAACAAACACAACAATTCTTATTTTCAGGTGATTACACACAAAAAGAAAATATACTTATTATATTATTTTTAATTTCTACCAATATATCCCCCTAAATCCTACACACTGGAGCTTTAACTCTCCAAACATTTAGTCTCAGCTTTACCCAGTCAAGCTGTTAATTTAACACAATCTAAAACTGATCAGTTGAGTGTTTTGACAAGTTTCAACGTGTCTGCTGTTAGCATTTACATGCATTTTTCAGGTCAGTTCTTGCAGACTTTCTGAATGACAGTAGTGATTTGCAGAGCAGTTAGCAGTGGACTGTGGCCCTGCTGGTCAGTGAGTTGCTGCTACTCCATCAGTTTTTCTGTGAAAAGCTGCTTTGTCCACTTAAAACAGTGGAAAAGAAAATGCATGATGTCCATGTATTATTTAGGCCTGGTTTTCTTGCTTGTAGGGCTGCCACTAACGATTATTTTCATTGTCGACTAATCTGTCGATTATTTCTTCGATTAGTCGACTAATCATTTCATCGAAAAATGTGTTAAAATGTTGAAAAATGTCGGCCTGTCTCACCCAAACCCCAAAATTACGTCATCTAATGTTTTGTTTCATACTCACGCCAAAGGGTTTTAGTTCACTGTCACGGGAGAGTGTGTAAAGCTGCCAATATCTGAACGTAAGAAGCTGCAGTAAGAGTATTTTGGGGTACTTTCATAGTACTTTTCTATGAAAAATGACTCAAACTGATTAGTCGACTACTAAAATAGTCACCGATTATTTTAATAGTCGATTAGTCATCAATTAGTCGAATAATTGTGGCAGCCCTACTTGCTTGATCTCTTTAGTTGCTCCACTTTTTGTATTGGGTTGTTGACTGAATCCTGATCAAGGGATGGCACCAACTCCGAAAAGCTCCAAATAAGCTCTGGTTCTTGAGCTGGTTCTATTCAGGATTCTTTGAACCTTGGTGCTATCTAGTGAACCAGCCTGCCCTCGTTTCTACCAGATTTGAGTTGAACCATTGAAATCATCGCAGGGCGTTCTGCAACTGAAGTAAACAGTTGTAGCAAGATGGTGGTTCACACTGATTACCTGCACGGTTTTGTTCTGTTTTTACAGATTCTTGTTTTTATCCGAAAAACAAGCATGAACCCACTAATGAGCCCAATGCATGCTCTTTTTTTCTCTATTGTTTCCTTCTCCATCCTCTCTTTCCAACCTGTAGAATATGACATGGCATGCAAGTGGCTCTGTGAGGCTGTATTTGGGTACAGTGACGCTAAGATATTACAATTCTCTGGGAATCATGAATGTTGGTACCAAGGTTTGTACCAGTCCATGCAATAGCTGTTTAAATATTTAAGTCAGGATCAAAGTGGTGGACCAACTGACTGTCATTGCTATTGCCATTCCCACAGCTATGCTACTAGCTCAGCTAAAGAAACGTACGCTCTAATAGTATTGCAAAAGCCTGCAGAAGGATATTTCTCACTGGTCGTGTAGCCGTTTTAGACCCTCTGTACAAGTTGAGTTAAGTTTAAGTTTATTCACTTTATTAATCCCCCTGAGGGGAAATTCAATGTTTTCACTCTTGCTTGTCAATTACACACAGGTCTGAAAGACACACACATGCACAAACAGGACCTATACATGCACAAAGTGGAGAGATCTCAGAGTGAGGGGGCTGCCCTTTGGTCAGGTGCCCCGAGTGGTTGGGGGGTTCGGTGCCTTGCTCAAGGGCACCTCGGCAGTGCCCAGGAGGTGAACTGGCATCTCTCCAGCCACCAGTCCATGCTCCATATTTTGGTCCGGACGGGGACTCGAACAGGCGACCCTCCGGTTCCCAACCCAAATCCCTATGGGCTGAGCTACTGCCGCCCCAACTAGGGCACTTTTGACTGTCTGTATCAGATGTGTTAATGATTGGATAACTCTCAAATGATTCGCTACATACTTTAGCTGCTAGTTGTTGTGTCATAGTTGTTTAATGTTAAGATTTGAGGAACAAAATTATTGCACCACAGTTATTGCGCCTAATTGACCAAGCTGACCAAGTCTCAGTTTTCCCTACAAGACTCTAGAAAACATGACAGAGAAGTCATTGCACCCTGAAGCTGAAGGTCGAACCACATGAAATTTGAAAAGGGCAAATGTAATATCAAATACAGTCCAGCAGCTCCCGCTTTGATTTTATTCATAAACTTCTGTTGCTGAATAATTTACAACACATTAGAAATCACTCTCAGAGTCGTCCTTATGTTTCTCCTGGTGTCAGCGGATGCTTTCTGCCCTGCCGTTGTCCTCCTTGACCTGTCCATCCTTCCAGCTACATCGTGCAGACTCTGATGGAGACGGACCTGTACAAGCTGCTGAAGAGCCAGAGGCTGAGCAACGACCACGTGTGCTACTTCCTCTACCAGATCCTGCGAGGCCTCAAGTACATTCACTCAGCCAACGTGTTGCACCGTGACCTCAAGCCCTCCAACCTGCTCATCAACACCACCTGCGACCTCAAGGTCAGCACACACACATAAATCATCATCACTGGTATTAACTAGAGTACTGTATCTACTTTTAATTTTTCTCAGGCAGCAGAAAAAAGACATTTAGATTTTTTTAATGTTATTTTAGGTTATGGTGGGGTTTGCACATAAACCTACAGGAAAACTACACATGCATGTTTTTGCTTTCATATGGAGTTATGTGGAAATCCTGCATTTATCTGTGGTAAACTTAGTATAGATGTTAAACATTCTCTGTGATACAAAAATAGTAGCTGGTACACTTTTGGGGACAGAAGTTAAAATGAGGATATTCTCCCACACTCAGATGGTGCATTCAAGCCAAATGATTATTTTCAGTTATCTAAAAAAATGTCCTACACAAGAATCCAATGTCTATTTAAACATTGGTACCACTTGCAAGTTACAGCGTTCACCAAGATTGAGGAAGCATCCTAGGAATGTTGGATATGGGTGATGAATTGACCTGAGCCCTTTCTTGCTTGTCTTGGCTGTTCACTGTGCAGTAAATGGTTCACTTTAAAAATGTAAGCACTGAATCAACTTTGATACTTGCAGATACTCAATATTAACTTACTCACAGTTGGATTGTGATGCTGTTAAAAAAACGCTTGAGGCGTTTCCCTTTCCTGATTCTGCTTTGTTCTCAAATGGGTATGTTTGTTATTTTTGCAGCTAAGTAGCCCAACGTGAGGTGGAATAAGTGAAATACTTCTGGAGTGTATTAATTAGGATCAAAACAGTTTTTTTTTTAAAGAATATTTTTTTTAAGAATATTTATTGTCCAGTTAGGTGTTAGTACCTTAGAATAATAGACCAAAGGCGTCTTTCCCTAACACAATACAGCTGCAGGATGGTTTCAGGTTTATACTTGTATTTTGAGTTTCTATCAGTACATTTTTACCTGCTTTAATGGTCAAAGCACACTTTATTTTCCTCAGGCCATCTGTGCTGGAACACCTGTATTTACCCTCTGTCTGAACAGTCATTTTAGTACCTGTCTGTGTAAGCCCCCCTCCCGAAAAAGCCCACTCCGCTCTGATTGCTCAGCGTTTCCGGATCTTGCGCATCTCACCGTCACAGCAGCTGGGGAATGACCGTAATGAAAAATAGTGGCACTCTACCATGAAAAATCACCAATAAAAACCTCTAAACACAACCAAACATGCTCCAGCAGGAATCTGAAATCAGGGAGAAATTAACAACATCAGCAACCAAGATTACCTGACGTTAGCGTGTGGCTACATGCAGCCGTGTACTTGCAGCTGGAGAGTGTGTGTGTGTGTGTGTGTGTGTGTGTGTGTGTACAGCTGCACTTTCTCCCATGACAAATGACCAATAAAACCTTTTTAGTACAAGCGGACTTGTTCCAGCAGGAATATGATCTGAAATTCGAGAGAAATTAACAACATTAGCAACCAAGATGACCTGTTTCCTTGACGCTATAGCAGGTAGCTTCATGTAGCAGTGTCATGATCTGATGTCACCTTGTCTCAAAGGTAGAAAAAAATGTTGGAAACAGAGTATTCAGAGCGACCTGAAACTTTAGGGTTTTGCTCACAGGGATTATTTGAAATTTAAGCCACATTTATTAATAATAATAATAATTTACAGCCACTGCTTTTTATGTTTGTGAAGATGTATCTACAGACTGTTACGCTAAATGGTAGTGCTCTAGGCCCAATCAAATCATTGGTTGCTAAAATGCATTCCGGAAAATAGGAAACCGCAACTTAAAATCAAAGTGCACAGCAAACAAGTTGAAAGAAAGCTTGTCTTAAGCATCGCAGATTAATGATGATTCATTTCCTTCACTCTGTTTCCGCAATGATTCGCTAGTGGTGGTCTTTTTACCAGAACCTAAAACAAGCCACTATAAACACATTGATATGAGCCATCAGGGTTCTCTTCGCTCTTTGCCAGGTTGTACAGCTTCAGAGTACACTTGTGAACTCTTAGCAGCACAGCCATCAATCCCTGGATTAGTTGATCATGTGGGAGGAGTGGAGAACAAAGGCAGCACATGTTGCAGCTACTTACTGATACATTCCTCTACAGGATAGATGTTTGTTACATCTGTGACTCTGTATCACTGATGTTGCATAGAAGGGTACATCGCAGATTTGCAACCATTTTTGTATCATAACAGTGTGGGTAGTATGTCTAAATGAAGTGTTGTAAATTTTCCTCCATCTCACCAGTGCCTAGATATCCCCTCCCCACCAGATGAAACATTTTGCACCACTCGTGCCACCACCACAGACTCAAAGAGTATAGAAGTGGATCAAAAGACTGACCCACCTCTATCTCTCTCTCAAACTCAGACCAAACTCCGATCAAACAGGCCACCATTTCAAATGGATGCATTTCCATTACATCACCTACCAGCGGGAGCTTTTATTGGTCTGGTGCGGCGCTGTGCATTCTGGTCATTGTAGGTTTTCTACCTCTTGGGCAAAAGCAAATGCCACAGTCCTTTTCCCTCTGTTTTCTCTGTCTTTTTCTCTCTCATATAGCACCAATTTCAAAAGTATTCGCCTCTGTCTACTGTATAGAAAGCCTCATTTTTATTAAAAGATCATCTTTCCAGCAGCAAAATATTTCTTTATTGTGTTTATTCATAATGTAGTACTAAAGTAGATTCAAAATAATTGATCCACTCAGCTAACAAAGGCAAATAAATAGGAAACCGATATTATGATTCCTCCCCTCTAGTGGAATACTGCCTGCCCCACATTTCCTGCAATCTGTTTTTTAATTACACACAAACATAATGTAGAAGTTCAGGCCTTAAGATTAGAAAGTAAAGTAGGAGCAATAAAGCTTCAGAGAGGCATAACAATGGGAACTGGTAGAGCTGTATCTGAAGTGGATTCTCCAGTTGAAGGAAAATCTTAGCTCAGCTTTACCTACTCTCATATTCTTAATGCGTGTGGGGCTTGACTGATATAAATATATTGTTTCTGACGTCTGACTTTTTGTGTCATCTTCAGATCTGTGACTTTGGCCTGGCACGTATAGCCGATCCCGAGCACGACCACACAGGTTTCTTGACTGAGTACGTGGCTACACGTTGGTACAGGGCTCCAGAAATCATGCTCAACTCAAAGGTAAGTATGTGTGTGTTTGTGTGAGTAACTGATGTGGATTCTGTATTGGACTGGATGATTTGTTAGGCTCCGATCAGACAGAATACTTTTTGCAGCTACAGAGCTGCAACCTTAAAACCTGCATGAAAAATGGACAGGCGACGGTCACTTGGGGACTGGACAGAGAGAAATGGAGATCCATTCTGCCTCGTCTGGATGATGGTTGGTTCAAGGCTTATATTAGAGTGAGTAGGTGACAGTTTGACAATCTGCTGTCAATCGTTGGGTCCAATTATGGTTGGTAAAATGTTAGAAATTAGCTGAAGCTACAGTTTGCCCTGATTTGTCTTGCAGCTTGCCTCAGGCGATGATAAAAGTGAGCTAACGTTAGTTTAACATAGACCATGTACGCTGCCACTTGTTGTCATCGCCACTACTCTCAATCCTTCTGATTGGACATTGGGGGGAAAAAAGGCCGATGACATAGAGCTCTTTTTTGTTCTGAGTTGAATTTTTTCTACTGGAGCCATTCAGGGTGCTCCTGCAAAACACGTGAGGCACCAAAAATGGAAAAATACGAGGTGTTCAGCAGTGCAAAAGCAGTGAGCAAAATGCTTCACTCTCATTTAAAACCATCACAAAAAGCCGCCCAGGCTGCTAAAAAGCTCTTTGTCTGATCAGGGCCTTGGTTTGTTTACTGTATGTACAATATGTTCGTTTGTGTCTCAGGGCTACTCCAAGTCCATTGACATCTGGTCAGTGGGCTGCATCCTGGCTGAGATGTTGTCCAACAGGCCCATCTTTCCTGGGAAACACTACTTGGACCAGCTCAACCACATACTGGGTGAGTTTTCACTCATTTCTACAAGATGTTAACACTATGAAGCAGGGCTGCAGGAATAAAATAGACAATAAGTTAAACAGATTTTAATGCGCGTTCAGCTCTTTACTCAGACTTTCACAGTACCTGTGCTTCTGCCACATCGTCTTTCCTATATCCAAAATATTGCCAGACAGCAATTATTTTTTAGGCACCAGTTCCTCTCTGGCATTTACAGTTTTTAGTTCAATGGTGTTAATTATGTCTTTAGTTTCTGATAATGACTTTAGTTGTTCTTTTATCTCAGACATGTGTTAGGATGTTACATACCTTGACATGTTTTGGCAGAAACTTACGCCTTCCTCAGAAATGTCACTTGGTGGTGGTTGTGACGCGTCTTTATCAGCTGCCAAAAGTGGTCATGCCTCCCTTATATCAGCTGATTTGACAGATCAGCTGATAAAGACGCGTCACAACCACCACCAAGTGACACTTCTGAGGAAGGCGTAAGTTTCCGCCAAAACATGTCAAGGTATATAACATCCTAACACATGTCTGAGATAAAAGAACAACTAGTCATTATTTACAGTTTTTGTCTGTGCTCACAATACATTGTGCTGCCCTACTGTGAAGTCACTTACAGCACTTCATCAGTCATTTTTATTTGCAGGATGATCAGTCACATTTGCATTCACTCTGATTTTCTCGTGTTTTTCCTTGGTCTTTGTTTGCTCAGTTATTCTTAAGATAATTAACCAATTCAAACAGCTTGTGCTAGTGATGTGGAGGTAAGGGTTTTTTAAAACCTGCACCATCCCAGCCTATTGTGACCAGCTAACTTATGCATTAAACCCCCAAACCTGACCCAAAAACCAGAGCTGAAAGTTTCTGGTAAATGACCATCGCTAGTAACACCTTACTCGCTGTTGGCTATATTCTGTGGCGTAAGGTAAGGTAAAACTTTAATGTCCTTGAGGGGTAATTTGAGATACAGACAGTAATCATGAGTACAACAAAAGAGACAGTCTTACAATCCGTAAGACACAGGATCCAGTCACTGTTAGAGGTGAATCATGGATATTAAATCAACAACCTAATACATGGCTGGCAAGTTATCAAGACAAAATACAGAGAAAAACAAAAACAATAATAAATGAATTCTAATGAGGAGAGAGGGAAAGAGACAAACAAACAGTCAAAAATTGTGAGGAGTTAAAAGGCAGCATTCGCTAGTAAGCTTTATAGGGGTCCCAAATCCTTGAGAACAGGTCAGTTTTACCCTTAAGTGACTATCTGATCTTCTCTAAGCTCAAAGACATCAATAGGTCTCTAACCCAGTGTCTTAATGGGGGAGTGTCAGGGGATTTCCAGTTTAGTAAAATAACCCTTCTTGCGGTATGTGTTGCTGGGGCTACTGCCCCATGCTGGGATTTAGACAGTGGTGAGCTCACTGGTAAAACTCCAAATAGAGCAATACATGGAGAGGGTTGGATATTTGTGTTATGTTTATCAGAGTGACATTTTAATATCTATTCCCACAGTTTAGCCACTGAGGGGCAGGCCCAAAATGTATGATATGAGGATGCAGATTCAAACTTGCATCTAATGCAGGTTGGGTCAAAATTAGTTGCAGTCAGACTCTCCCCTCCCATATCTGTACTCCAGGCTCCCCTCACTCCCAATATCGAAGGGGTCTGAAGTGCAATAAGATTACTATAAATATTTGAAGTCGCACTTCTCAAAAGTTCCGTCATTTGAACAGTTGAACAGTAGGCGGAGGTTTAGTTTTGTTTTTTTTTTAATGGGTTTTTGGTTAGACATCTGAAATAAGGTCTGTGGTGAACACAAGCTTTAGAGACTTTAACGTTTTCTTCTATGACATAAAATAACGTCAGTAAATTCCCCAGTTGTGAATTCTGAAGCCTTTACGTGTCTAAAAAAGGCAGTTGCTAACAGGTGTTTTAATGAGTCTACAGAAAATCATCGCATCAAACACAGCTTTACGTGTGGTGGCAACGTTAAGTCGTGCGACCGTAGTGCAGATTGTTTAAAGCCTAGCGTTAGCTTTTTACTTCTAGCTATTGCATCTACACTTCAATAATCCTGGTGGTGTTCATTTGTAAAGATTATCTTGCTGAATAAAATGTTTAAGTATCAAACATTTGTTTGCCACAGAACTTATTTTCTGCTACAAACCCTAACAAGAGAACCAGGGCGACGGTAACTTCCGTGTCGACCAACAAAAATCCTTGCATCCCTGTGTAAAACAACCACATGAAGGCTCCATACTCCAAACCAGGATGGCAAACTTAATTACTTCTTTCAACCATAACAAAAGCAGCGCATACCATATCCACTCCTTTGTTCTGACCTTTCACAACAAAAGGCCTAGTCTTGTACACTTTGTCTGCCAGAGGGAACTTCAAATTCACTAAAAAATATAAAATAGCTTACAGTTGCTTCGACTATACAACAGCTTACCTCACACAGTCTGCTAGACGTTTCTTTGGGTCAATACGATCCCGGTAGTTGTCGCTGCTTGCGAATCTGTTCGCATTAGAACCTTTTATTGAATGAGTGTCACAACTGTTGTATAGCAGCTGTCGGTTTGCGTAGTTTTGATATTCTCCTGAGAACGAGACCCGGTACTCAGTGAGATTACATGTTTAAATAAATGTTAGATAAAATAAAATGTTTGTCATTTATTAGTCACACCCCCAGTGAGCAAAGGCCCCAACAGCCACACCCTGTTCCTGACATAGGCTATCAGTTGAGTAGCCATATTGACACATATTCCCTCGCTCTCCTCTGTGTGCAGGCATCCTTGGCTCTCCATCTCCAGATGATCTGAACTGCATTATCAACATGAAGGCGAGGAACTACCTGCAGTCTCTGCCTCATAAAAACAGGATCCCCTGGGAAACTCTCTACAAGGCAGACTCCAAAGGTATGGCAGTGCTACGTGTTACTCATTTGTAAATTTAGAATGTCAGGGAAGAAAATAAGATGTTTAAATTTAGAATAACAACCTACATACTAATCTGGGAAGTAGGAGGAGAAGCTGCTCTGTATGGCCCGTAATTGGCAGCAGATGCCGCTGTGTGGTCACACTAACAAACATACTGGTGACTGTTCATTGGGGGGGTTTTTTTTCAGTGACCAGTCAATAGAACCATTGTACAAGTTATGGTCTCCTGTAGCTGACACTAAACAGTCATATTCTGCCTCCTATAGACCTGAAGAACATTTATATAACAGGCTTTTAATGTGTAATTATCCTTTTGTCAGATCATCTGTACAAAGCTGTTGTGTGGACTTTCTCTGTTTAAATTCACAATAAGCATGAAGGAGCCAGTAAAGTTTGGTGCTTCAAACTAGAACACTGAATGAAGGGATAATAAATATCACGTTACAGAATTGTCATAACATTAATATTTATCAACTAACTTTGATTTGTATATTAAAATGTGTGTTTTTCTTTTAAGATCCAGCTATACAGTGATGGAAAAATAAGTAAAAAATTATATAAATATTTTTTCTTTTATATATCTTTAGTAGTTTTAGTATCACTGACAGTGAAATGAAATGAATACCGCTGTAAGGAAAAGAAACTGCACAGCTTGGTTGATTGAACTAACTGGAGCTCTTGATGAATCTGACGCAGCTCTGGACCTGCTGGGCCGCATGTTGACCTTTAACCCCATGAAGCGCATCAGCGTTGAGGAGGCCCTGGCTCATCCTTACCTGGAGCAGTACTACGATCCCACAGATGAGGTATTTATGAATTATTTTACTTTTCTGAAGCCTAAAGATTCAAGTTTTAAGATAAGTGCCTTCTCAGTCTATCAATATTAAAACTAGGGATGCACCAATTGTGAAATTTGGGGCCGATACTGATGTTTAGGGTAACAATCTGGCCAATTGCTAGTGGGTTGTTTTTTGTTTTTTGTTATTTATTCCCCCTTTTTTGCCAGGGAAGCAAAGAAATTGAACTGTTTTTAACGTCACTCAGCCCTTCATTACACTACCTTTTGAATCAGCACAAATTAAACCACACACATTCATGAAAAAACCTTTAAAATAATGTTCTTCCACATTAGAACAAGTAGGCCTATTTATTTTAAATACCTGCTTTAAAAGCCTATTTACTAGATGTAATTTATGTTAAGTCCCTCTCAGATATCTATCTTATATTGCTGTGCATCAACTTATTACTCCTTTAAACAACTGTATAGAGAATAGGATCGTGACTAGAGTAGTAGAGATCAGCGCAAAGCATTGTGAGACTTTAAGACACGGTAGTTACGGTAGAGATCAAGTACTACTCAGTTAAGTTTATATTTTATCCAGTTTGAAAACACAGTGAAATGTTAAACGTTTACTGCATTATCAGAGGCCATAACTGTTCTCTGCCCGACCTGTAAATCATCAACCTGAACCTGAACTGTAAACCTGCAAACCGGAGCTGAAAGTTTCTGGCCATGACCATTTATAATATCAATCTACTTGCTGTTGGTTATATTGTATGTCATTTCTAGAAAATATCACAATAGTAAATGTTAATTTTTTTTTTTATTTAAATGTAAAAACTAAAGAAGATGGCAAGTACTCAGCCATCTTTTAAGTGACTAAGTCTTAAGTATGATCTCTAGCGCACAGCTGACCAGTACAGTGCTTTGTTTACTTGACATTACAGAAGTGCAGTCTGGACATTATGACCAGAGAGAGATTTAAATATGTCAGATTTTAATTGATTTTTCTGCTCAAAAGGTGAATAACATAAAGCCCGAGTGCAGCAGCGCCAATGATAAAGCTACTTGTTTGCTAAAGCTTACCCAAACCGCCTGACCGCATCACTAGTTGTTACAGATTGGGACTGTTTATTTCCTTTTAACATGGCACAGTAGCGCTTCTTTGCATCCTTGTGCAGCTTAAATAGAATGATCAACTTCTCTTGTAGGGAATGTTGCACTTGCTCTTTGACTGATCTACTCTTGTTTTTGTTTTTTTTGTCTCTATTGAGGAGGCACATCTTTAAGTATGGATGCTACTATCCAGAATGCAATGTGCCATGATGTCATTGCCTTTTCTCTATTTATTCAAGTTTCTCGTCAAAAGCTAAATTTTACAAAAATACGTTTGAATCCATCATAAGAACGTTAAATTTCCCTTCCCCGAACACTTATTTTCACTAAATAGAGCCTGAACGCATCATAATGTAACTCAGTGGGGCCTTCATTAGCTGTTAGCAGTTGCTTAAGATAACTAGGTCTCCTGCTGATGTCAACATGGACTTGGTGTTCACAGTCTAGCTTTATCAGGGAAAGAATAAGGTGTGTCTCCTGAGGTGCTGTCAGTGAGTTTATTGCGTTCTTTTCTCCCGACAGCGTCCCAAGGAAGGTCTCTGTTTGTCCCAAACATGTTTTATATTGTCCCCGGGATGATGGGATGCTGTTAGTTTTGAGCCTTGTTTTTTTTTTTTACTACGCAAAATTGATGTGACACAACAGAAAAACATCAGCCGCTGCCATCGGTTGATGTCATCATATTTGCTGATAGGATGATTGCAGTCAACAAGGTGAATATCAGTGCATCCCTAAAATTTAAAACTGCACTGCTCTCTCCAGAGGAATTTGCACAAACATAACGACAACATGAAAAAAAGGTTTGTTTTGAGTTTTTCACAAATGTTGGGGGCAGAAGGGCTCATTCATTCAAACATGTTCTTTAACCATGAGCCAAGACTTAATTGTTTTCCTGCTTTGTGCTGGGAAGCCTCTTAGCTGTGTTTGGAATGCAGAAGGTATTACGTTCGCTCCGTGGTTCAGCTCGAGAGGTTAAAGAATGTAATCGCATCTCAGCTTACGTTAGCATTAACTGAATCCTAGTACTGGACTGTAGAAGTTAAAGTGGTGGATTTCTTCACTGGTTTTTCCAGTTTTTAAACGTAGCTGTTAAAACACTTTACAGCAAACTTTGTGAAAATTACAGCTTCCATTGAACTGCATTTAACCTCTAACACTCCACCCCCAACATCCAGGCCTACCATAAACTTGCAGAGCCAGGGGATCTTTAGGGGCAGAAAGCAGGTCAACAGTATATGCCACATAAAAATGGTATTCGTCATGTGAAAGCTGGGAACCTGAAGATAAATTTGAGATGCAGCTCAGCACTGTGTTGAGTTTTTCAAGTCATAGATGTGTGTTTTGGTTAGGTGTCTATCCAGATTTTCCACCACTTAAGAATGGATAAAAAATTGTCAAAAATCCTCCAAAATACCACTTTAAGACAACAAAACCTTATATAACACCTCAGAAAAATCCATGCTGTGATATAGTTTGAGAAACTGAAGCCATTCAGAGATATCTGTAAAAACTCTTTTTTTTTTCTGTGATTGGATAGCAAGCAATTATGTTCTTGAAACTGCTGCGAAACCCTCTTATTGTCACTATAAGCATGAAAGCCAAGCATCCTTTGAATGCCCGAGGTTTCCAGTTTATGGTTGTAAAGTTTCACGAGGCTGTGATTATTCTAGAGGTCACAGTAGTTCATTCCATACCGTGATGTCTGTCTCAAAGAAATGGTCTCATTACAATGAAATGACTACTGTGTGGAAAAACATCACCATACATGAATAAAATTGGGCTTATTAAATCCATAAGAGTCTAAACTTTCCAATACCCCATTTATGCAATTCCAAGACTGTTTGGGAACCCAGGTATTCAGAAATATTTAAATACAATAGGCGGAAATAACACACTTATGCTGCATGAAAAAAAGTTGCTTGGTTTTTGCCCAAAACTGCATGGTTATGTCCGAAAAGGGAGACCTGTAGGTACCATTTTCATTCAGATATTTTTATTTTTTGAAGTAGATTTTAAGGAAATGGCTCTCCAGCTTTAGTTGAATCTTTATAATGTGTGTGTTTGTGTGTGTAGCCGGTAGCAGAGGAGCCCTTCACCTTCTCCATGGAACTGGATGACCTTCCCAAGGAGAAGCTGAAGGAACTGATCTTTGAGGAAACGGCTCGTTTCCAGGAAACCTACCAGGGCTCCTGAGACACACAGGTATGTGAAGAAGGCCAGTTACCACACACACACAGTCACAGCAACACAACATTCTGCTGGTATAGGTCGCAAAATGAATACATGAAATATATTTTAGAAGATATTCCTAGTGTGAGTGTCAACCTCACATCATCAGACTGAACAACAGTGGCTAAAGCACATTAAGTTTCCATCTTTATGTCCTAAGTATTTGTCCATCACACGCCTACCTGATACCTTGGGGTCAGGCTAAGTTCCTCGCCTCTCCTTGTGCTCCCCCTGATGATGCAGCTACATACCATGCTAGTTTTCCTGGTTTAAATTCTTAGTTTATCTGAATAATAAGAGACTAAATTATGTCTTTTGTGCCATTGTTTGTCCCATTCATGCGTTATAAACTATTTTGGGGTGATGATTGGTGTCGTATATAAGCACCTCTTGCAGTGACGGAAACACACAGGTGAGGTTGAAAAGAAATTGATGCAAATCAGCAACATGTTCTGGTAAAGAGAACGGCAACATCAGTCAAAAGTGGACCACCCTACTTTGTTTCACCCCATGTTGTTTTTATACTTTATGAGCTCTGAATAGAATTTGCTGTGATGTGAGACCACTAGATGTCAGTGGAGCAAATGCCATTCATGCATTCATTCAGACACACCAGACCTCAACTGTCCCTGTCACACAGTTGAAAGATTATGCTAGCTGTGCATACATGGCACCTAGAGTCAGCAGAAACATGAAACTACCTTTTCTGTTAGTTATATTAACTTAAATTTACATTAAGGAAAATAAAGGTTGCACAGTAGGTTCATCAGAAATGTTGGAATGGTTAAAAGTCTCAGGCTTTTTGTTATGAAGACAAAATTCTACAGAGCAGTAGCTCAGTCCATAGGGACTTTGGTTGGGAACCGGAGGGTCTCTGTTCAAGTCCCCGTCCGGACAAAAATATGGAGCGTGGACTGGTAGCTGGAGAGGTGCCAGTTCACCTCCTGGGCACTGCCGAGGTGCCCCTGAGCAAGGCACCGAACCCCCCAACTGCTCGGAGCGCCTGTCATGGGCAGCCCACTCTGAGATCTCTCCACTTAGTGTATGTATAGGTCCAGTTTGTGCATGTGTGTGTCTTTCAGACCTGTGTGTAATTGACAACAGAGTGTAAAATTGAATTTCCCCTCGGGCATTAATAAAGTATATAAAATTAAAAATTAAATCCGCAGTTACAGAGTGACATTGTCCAGTGAACAGTCCTAATGTCCTACTGCTATCAGCATGCATAATTTTCAGCGTCAGTGTTTCATGTCTCGTGAGAGAATTGATCTGAAAAGTGGACTCTGGAAATGTTTAAGTGTTAAGGAATTGCTATATATATCTATAAATTCAGGCTCTGTCACTAACTGTCATTCCAGTTAGTGTTTGTCAGCAGGATGTCGGAGGCATGTGAATGCATTTCAATGTCAATAAATGTACAAATTATTATTTTTTGGACATGAAACAAATTGAGATTGACATTTTATTTCAAATACTAAGGTAATGTTTGCAGGGTCATCTCTAAAATATCAACTTGGAATTAAAATAAAAATTTAGGGCAACTTGGAGACTTAAATTTGACTATTATTCCTGTCAGCTGTGATAACATTTCACTCTTTAATAAGAATACAATCCAAAGCAGGAAGCCCAAAAACAACCGATCTGTAAAGAGACGTTATGTCGGTTGGATCCATTCTGGTGTTTATTTAATCATGTTGATCATCATCATCTCACTCACAACCTTACAACTATTTATTTCCAAGTTTAAGCAAAGATGACCATTTAATTTAGTACCCAAGTTAACTATATATTGTTCATGATAGATTTAGCAGAGATACCTGTTGGTACAGATGTCTTTGGCTGTAGTTTTCTGTAGGTCTTCAATGCATTATGTCACTGTAGTAAACATTTTGGGTGTGTTCTGTTACGTTATGGTGAGCAGGTGAGTCATAGGGTTGCAACAGTATGAGATTTCTTTTTTCAGTATTGTAGATAAGCAAATGTACACGGTGCGATAACTGCATATAATCAGCTTTTATATCAGGGTATACCTTGAAACCAGTATATTGCTGCAACCTTACTTACAACCTTATTTGGTCCAGTATTGAGCGAAGGTGCTGCAGCCAGCAGGGATGAAACAGGCTGCAGTGTAAACACTAGTGGCATGTTTGCACTGTCAGTGTACATCCTCTTAAAGTGTTTGTTTTTGCTACTGACAGGCTCAGATTGTTATTAGTGTCTGACAACATTATGGAAAGGATCGGTACTGAGAAAGACCTTTCTGTTAAAGAGTAAGATCTGTTTTGTTTCACCAGAAACAGCCCCAGAGAGGCATGTGCCAAATCAACCAGGCTCCACTTAAAAAAAAAAACTAATTTTGGTGTGTATAGAGCCAGCATATTTTCACATCTAACCCTATGCATCTAACAGGGTGTATTAAGGGTTTATTTCAACCAAGTTAATTAAGTTGGTGATTGTTGGAGCAGTGAAAAGACAAAACAAGATGGTTTTTGTGAGTTTTATTTTGTTTCTGTCGACTTTGAATAAAGTGTTTTACGATGATTAAATTGCTGTTCATTAAAATGGAGTCTAGTTGGTTTGGAGATGGCGATTTGAGGGCTGTTTTTAATTAAACAAAAAGTATCTTACTCTTGAACAAAAATGTCTGTCTCTGGAGTGATCCTTTCCATAATGTTTTAAGACACTTAAAATAACAATCTTAGCCTGTCAGTAGCAAAAACAAACACTTAAAGTGGACGTATGTTTATGGTGCAAACATGCCCCAAGTGGTTACATGTGGCCTGTTTTGCTGCTTATTTCTGGACGAATTACTAAAATATAATAAAACATAGGAAAATAGGTCCAGGTTGTAAATAACTGGACTTACCATTTAATATTCATTAATTCAAAGTGGATCTAAATGCATTTCGTTTCCTTTCCTTTCCTTTTTCAGCCCTAAAGTGACAAAGCCACCCAGAGGCTTGGAACAAGAAGACCCCAAAATGACATGCTAAAACAAAAAGAAAAATGCATCTTCAAGAAACCAACAAAAAGAGAAAACAAGAAATGAACATTTAACTGCTTATCTTTCCATTTCTACTGCAAGAGAGCTAAGTCTAACTTTGATTTCTGTGGTTGGGTGGGGTGGTAGGGTCTGTTGTACTCATACTGTTTCAGTTTTGTCCATGTTGGACTCTCCCTCCTCTCACCTCACATTTTGTTCTCCCGTTAAAATCCTGTCTCATCCTGTCCCATCCAGAGTAACTCACTATCCCCCCTCCTGTCCCGATCAAACCCCCGGTTCCTCCTCTCCTGCACCTGTCGCTGATCTGTCTGTCTGAGCTCTCCTCTCTCTGTCGCTCCCTCTCATATAAACTACTGTATTAACCAACACCATAACTCTCTTGTCTTGCTCCATGTAAATTACAACCTGAAAAAAATCGAGGGCTAAAAGAACGGGGATGCTAATCGGGTGTATGTATATACAAAAGTATAAAAGCTTTTTTTTTTTTTTTTTTTTTTTTTTCCCCTTTTTCTTTAAGTGTGCTCGTCGCAGTTTTTGTTTGTACACCGTTGTTTGAATGTTTTCGGATCAATTCAGAGTCGTATCTGTTTATATTTGCAGTTTTTTTATTTTGAACACTTGAATTTTGAGCATTCAGTGTTTTTACTGGCATGTTGGCAGGTTTAAAGTTCTCTTTGTCGTTGCTCTTTCTTTTGTTTTGTTTTTGTTTTCCGAAAAACAAACAAAACTGTGTATGATGTTCATATGAATGCATGCATTCCTGAAATTAACCAAAGTGGCAGAGAGATGCAGGAAACTTGGCTGGGAAGCAACTAAGGAATATCTATCGGAGTTTAATAATACACTTCTTGACCTATAACTCATAAAAGGGCAGACAAACTGAACTCCCCCTTCATTTGTGGAAAGCTGGTTATATTCATGAGGTGCGACATGATTGGAACAAACAGAAAGCAACATAATTCCTATTCAGATAACAGTGATACCTACGCCCCATTTTCCAGAACATTCATATTACTCTGTGCCACATCAAAACATTTTTTTTTCACCTGACTTAATGTAAGTTTTGTGCAAGACTTTTTTTCCCCCAAATTGCATGAAACAGAGAGCAAGCAGTGCCAGAATACTGATGTGAGACACTGGTATAACATCACTGTATCATCTACATTTGGCTTCACAACACCCTTTTCTGTAAAACACAACATCAAATAGCAGATCCAGTGTCAGCATCACATTCCTGTATAGAATTACATTCTCCTCTTGATCCTAAATGTCACTGGATCCTCTGTATCTAAGGCCAAGTCTGATAACACATACAGTATTCTGGAAAATGGGGCCTGATTGACATCCCATCCCACCGTGCTGTTTTTGCACTGTGTTTCTATTTGCTGCCGCTTGACCCAGGACGATAGAGCTGCAATGATTAGTCGTTTAATCAATTAGTAGATCAAAAAATGTCAAACATTTGCTGGTTTCAGCTTCTGAAATGTGAGAATTTGCTGCTTTTCTTTGTCATCTGTGATCGTAAATGAAGAGTCTTTGGTTCAGGGCTGTTGGTTGGACAAAAGAAGCAAATTGAAAATGTTACTTTGGGTTTTGGGAAAGTGTGTTGAGCATTTTTTGACATTTTATAGACTAAACGATTAATCATGAAAATAATTGTTAACAACAATCGTGAACAGTCGTTAGTTGCAGCATTATAAAACAACAGTATGGAGTCAAACATGTGCGCAGGCTGGCGAAGACCCAGATCTAAACAAATTTACGTATTCAAAGTGGCCAGTTTATTTTTAAAAAAAAGCACTTTCCAACATCCCTTTTTACAGATAATGATCTTTCCGGCTCATTGATGTGAGTGTTGAATGTAAATGTCCTGAATATCTGGAGTCGTGTCGCTGCAGCTCGCAAAACTGTGGAGTTTTACAAGAACAGCACCTCTTTTACGACTACTGAGAAAACCATAGGTGTCGCTGATGAATGCCGCGTTCACGTCATATGGGATGGACGGCAGAGCTGAAAAGAAACAACTTGCAAGCGTCATCGAGACGGTTGTATGATTAGAGTTGATTGCGCTGACTATAGAACACCATATCCTTTTAAAATTTTGATTTAATCACAAGGAACGACGGCTTTTGGCCAATGTGAGGCATTCATATTTGTTCAGCTTTCGGGCACTCCTATATTAGTAAGTGACAAGTCGTAAGTATCGCAGCTTTCAGAAAAGTTGTTGCTACAACTTGGAAGTAAAAGATGTAAGACGTAAACAATATGTCAAAGACAGAAACTTTGTAATTTTGATAAAAGTTCAACACCATTTCTTCCCTTCCGATTTCTGAGCATGTAAATTTGCTAGATTATTGATAGATAATGTTGTATTTGATCAGACCATAGACTTATTTACTCGCTGATGCAGCATGTTAGGCAGTATTGGAGGCATTTCTAAAACTATCAATTTGGTATCATTATTGTAACAACTCTAGTGATAACTTCAATATGACGTGAATGCAGCATAATCGGCAACATAATAGTCAAACCCAGGAATGTCAGAGTGCTGTACAGTTATTCTGGCTCAGTGCACAGCCAAGCAGCTACCATCACTCCATGGTTGTACAGTGTATATATTCCCTCCCTACCCATTTTACTTCTCCTTCGCCTGTGTGCTTTCCGCTTAACATACTGGATGTTTACTCTTCAATGTGGGTGATTCAAGGCTGCATTGTTCCTCAGATGGCTTCTCATGTTTCTTTGCATGTGTATTACGTCTGTGTTTATCGTCCTCCTCTCTTTGTTCTGGATGTGACTGTACTAACTGCTCAGCTCAGTCTGCACTAATCTCTGCCTGTTGCACTGGGACCAGTAGAGAAGCCTCCTCCCTCCTCCCCACAAACAAAAAAATGGACCAACACATGCACTGGATCCTCGTTATCTCTCTCAGGGCAGGCCTGTGATGTGATGTGATGTGATGTCACTGGCCTCGCCCTCTCACAGCAAAAATCATTGATTTGTCTTTACGGGCATCAAAGGCTGTTTTCTCAGAAGCCATAGCCAGCACTCTGGGATCGGTGTGAGGCTTTTTGGTGCATGTGGTGATACTCATCCTTTTGTTCAACTTCCCGACTCTCACCACGCTTTACTCAAAGGGCTGCCTCCCCCTTCTTCCTCCTCCTCCTCCTCCTCCTCCTCCTCCTCCTCCTCCTCCTCCTAGTCCTCCCTCCCCTGTCTGCTTCTCCACAGTGGGATTGGTAACTCATATCACTGACTTTGCTGCCACTGTCCTCCTCCAGAAAATAATTACCCCCATCTCATTGGGATCACACATCATGGATGGTCATACATGCAGGAAACTTGCATAACTCAATCAGCACGCCTGCACTTTGTCTTTCCAGCCGCTCTCTCTCCCCCTGCGAGGTTGTTTTCGTCTTGTATCCTCCCTTTTCAGCTTTAAGTTTCGCCTGCGTTGTGTGTGTTAAAGCTCATGGATCGTCTGCAGTAATTTATGCGTGTGTACAAGTGTTTGTGTATCTGCTCATCAGTAAAGCCAAGACTCTTTTTGTCCTGTGTGTTTCGGGCCCTCTCCCTGCAGTTACCTGTGCTTTCACATCTGTAAGATTTTCTTTGTTTTGTATGTATTTCATATGTATATTTGGTCACCAGTCAACCAGGCCCTGCTCGCTCGTTTTTCTTTCTGTCCAACCGACCTGCCACCAGACCAAACATCTCACTGGGTAACCATGGGAACGAACCAAGAGGACCACATTTTTTTGCAATCCTCCTGACGCACTCACACACGCACTTCTTTCTGAGGAGTGTACCTGTGTGTTTGTGAAAAGTTGCACTTAAACACACCATATACATTCACACAGTATCGATGAGTCTAAAGGCCTGTCCGTCACGAGGCCTGTTTCCAGATATTGTTGTTTTTAAATGGCTGTTCTTATTATTGCTATTGTTATATTGGTGAGTTGTTGTATTTCTTTCTTTCTTTTTTCTTTTGTTGTTTTTTTTTACATGAAAGGGAGTTAAAGTTGTATCATTTTTTTAAATAATTAGGATGTTTTTATTTGTATTTTTTTCTTCTTCCTTATTTCTCTTATGGGCGTGATTATTATTGGCAGTGTTTTCAATCTTTCTGAAACCTTTTTTTCTTTGATTTTCCCCTCCAGGATCTTATAAGGAATTATTTTAAAAGAAGATATAAGTAGATTGTCAAAGAGATATGAGTTATTGAGGGTTATAGTCTGTATATTCTATGGGTATTATGAATTAAACGATTAACAAAGAAACAGAATTATATACATATAATAAAATAAAATTTCCTGATACTGTTACACATGTTTGTGGATGTTTTTTTTTTTTCTTCTTGTGGTCTTTTTTTCTTTCTGTGACAGACTTTGACTGTGGCTTAGATAAAAAATAATAGACTAAAGATAGACATAAAGCATGTGCATGACGTCATGCAAATGAGACAAAAAAGAGAAAAAAGAAATGCAGATGATTAGAGGGATGCAAGCTGACCACATATCAACCAAAAAATGAAACAAAACACCCAAAATGACTAGAAACAACAACAGTGACACAAAATGACTCAAAACAGGGACAAAGCAACAGACAAAATGACTAGGAACAATGAAAAAGTGCCACAAAATGACCACAACATGACTCAACAGCAACAGATTGACACAAAATAACCACGAAATGACTTGAAACAATGACAAAGTAGCACAAAATGACCACAAAGTAATGCAAAACAATCACAAAGAGACGCAGATCGACCATAAAATGACCAAATATGATGCAAAACAACCACAAAGTGAAACAGTAAAGCAAAAACAGTTATAACATATTTACTTATTCCCCCAATGTGCTCCCTCTCTATGAAACTGAACCCTAGTCTTGCCCCCAATTTGAAAGTTTCTAAACCCACAGATTTAACAGTTGCAACACTTATTGGGGGAAAATAAACCACAAGAGTGTAACAACAGAAAAACAAGAAACAAGTTCTCAGCACAGTGCAAACATGTAGCTGCAGACGCTCATCAGTCAGGTTAGTTTTACAAATGAGAATGAATGATGAGATCCTCACTGCCACCAGATGTCACTGATTGTTACCTCGGAAATGCTTTTCAGCAGTTGTCACTGATTGTTAACCATGAAATCATGGCTCTTAGCTCACAGACTTAAATCTCAGAGCAAAAGTAGGGCGAGGCGGGTTTATTTATATAGCACATTTCAGCAACAGGGCAATTCAAAGTGTTTTTACTTACAAAGTGCAAAGATACACATTATAAAAGGACATTTAAAAACAGTCATTGATAAGCCAAGAAAATAGAAAATGAAAAGCTAAAACAGAATAAGACAGGTATAAATACAAGAATAAAAGTTACAGTGCAGTGTATGAAAGAAAGAAATATTCGATTTAATAAAAGGTAGAGGCAAACAGAAAAGTCTTCAGCCTTGATTTTAAAAATACAGGGTTGCGGCAGACCTGCAGTTCTGTGTGAGATTGCTGCAGATATGTAGCACATAAAAACTAAATGCTGCTTCTCCATAATTAGTTTTGACTATGAGGACACAAAGCAGACTTGTCCAAGACAACAGTCCATAATGCAGCAAAAGATCAGAAATGTGTTTTGGCTCTATACCAGTCATTGCATTGTAAACCAGCAGTTGTATTTTTTAATCAGTGCTCTGACAGACAGGATGTCGTAGTTAAGACCCCAAAACTGGAGTGTTGTGAACCACTTCCCTGGTCTTAGTGATGATTCAAGCAGCGTTCTGAAGCAGCTGCAGCTCAGGGTGACCTGTAAAAACACCTTTATAGCAGTAAAGTATGAATCAGTGGATAGATTTTTTCAAATCCTGCTGACCCCTCTTCCTAACTGGACATGATGCGAACAAGTGAACATCAGATTGTTTCAGTTTTTCCCGGTAAAGTTGTCCTAACTCACTCCGTGCAAATGACCTGAGTAACTTGTCACTTTCTGGAAAACCTGCTCATACTAGCTCTATTTTTGCAAAGCTTCATGTACCATCAACCTATTTTCAGTTGTTTCTTAGGCTCAGTCAGGGCTCAATAGGCTGTTGTCATTTCTCATAATTTATCTTGACATATTTATGGAAAGTCAGAGCTGATAGTTGGCTGACTTTGTAATAGTCTAACGTGGCTATTGAAATTCAGGTCTAAGTCCATGACTACGCCTAGACTTCTGGCTTGGCCCGTGTTTTTTAAACCAAGTCTGGCCTCACACTGCAGACCAGTCTAAACTATTTTTTTCAAACCGGTTTCAGAAGTGAACTTCAAGCCTGAGAGTCGTGGGAATGAACATAACTTTGTGGCATCTCATCATGAAAGCCAACTTGCTCTCCCAGCTGTGCAGCTTTCCCACCTTCCCATATAACATGTCTGAGCACGGCTACCCTGTTCGACCCTGACATTCCCAGAGTCCTAGGCCATGATTTGAATGACTTCAGCACTGTCTCCTTGTGGGCTGAAAATCTACCTGAAAACAAGGCCAACATGATTTAGGCCAACAGGACAGAATTTACTTATATTTTGTATGTAAAGGGAGACACATTCAAAAGTGAGAAAAAGCTGGAAGCCACATTGCACTGCTGTGAATAGATTTCTCTCTTCTGGTGAAACATTTCAGAGCGAGCTCCATTGTTTGTCACAGTCCAGCTTTGCTATTGACCCTGAACAATACACCACTGCTGACTTTGTACTGTATGTATAGCGAGCATGCATGCCTGTAGACATGGAGTTGTTTTCATATTTCTATCTGTGTGGGTCAGAGTTGAGTTTACATATCTGAGAACGCCACATCCCTTTTGTCAAATACACACAGGCTACAAGAAACCGGCCGCCCTCCCACTGAGGCCTTTTGTCTTTCTCTGTTATCAGCTACAAACATGTCTGTGCTCAAGATCAAATGAGACTGGGACTAAATCTGGAAATGACAATAGATGCCAACAACTGCTCATTTGTCATATAATATTGTTTGTCATAATTGCGGTACTGATGTCCAACCTCACACTGCAAACAATGAATCAGTATAAAAGAAATCCTTTAAGTGTTGGCAGATGTACCCAGGTGTGACATGCACAAAACCACCAGTATCAAAGCTGGACAAAAGCAGTGTAAAGAGAGTGAAATAGTACTGCCACAGGCAGGGGAGAGGCCAGAGAGAAAGAGAGAGAGCGTGGAGGTGAGCTCTGGGTTATGGGCTGGTGCTTTATTAACTTATTTTTTACAGCTCTGAAGGTTTCGAGAGTCAGTAGGAAGAAGAATTTCCTCGGTCTTACCCGTCTGTCCAGTTTTTTTCTTATCTTCAAAGTAAGACAGAGAGCAGGCTGTCTTCAGTGAAGCCTTTGAATCCGTCTACACAACAGGGGGATTGTTTAAAGGCTTTATTATCTTTTGCTGAACGACACACCTGTTGGCACCGTTTTATTTGATCACTTTTTTTTTTTTGCTGGAGATTTCTGTTCATTCTCCATGTGACAGAGACTCACTCAGGAGCTCACTGGATGTGTTTGCGGGGAAGAATGAGCGGCTTTCTGTACTTCATCCTCCCAGCTCTGGGTGGATACACTCTCACCTCTCTGTACCTGCTGAAGAACCCGCTCATTCTCCACAGGAAGAAACGCACCGCTTTTTACTGCACACACATCTCACACAGAGGAGGTAAGGGGGTGACCAGCACTGTGTTTACAGTTTCACTTAGACTGAGGAGATAGATGGGGGTATGTTTGGTGTTTAAAGGGACAGTTCACCCCAAAATCAAAAATATTTATTTTTCCTATTACCTGTGGTGCTATTTATCAGTCTTGATTGTTTTGGTGTGAGTTGCCATGAGTTAGAGATATCGGCTGTAGAGATGTCTGCCTTCTCTCTAATATAAGGGATCTGGTGAAGAGAGAGTTGAGCCGGAAGGCGAAGCTTTGGATATCCTGGTCCATCTACATCCCAACCCTCACCTATGGTCATGAGCTCTGGGTCATGACCGAAAGAATGAGATCACGGATACAGGCGGCCAGAATTAGTTTCTCCCGTGGGGTGGCTGGGCTCAGCCTTAGAGATAGGGTAAGGGGCTCGGACATCCAGAGGAAGCTCGGAGTAGAGCTGCTGCTACTTTGCGTTGAAAGTTGTCAGTTGAGGTGGTTCGGGCATCTGATCAGGATCCTCCTGGGTGTCTCCTGTTAGGGTGTTCTGCGTATGTCCCACTAGTAGGAGGCCCTGGGGCAGACCCAGAACACGCTGGAGGGATTACATATCTCATCTTGCCCGGGAACACCCTGGGGTCCCCCAGGAGGAGCTGGAAGGCGTTGCTGGGGAGAGGGACGTCTGGGGTGCTTTGCTTGGCCTGCTACTCCCGCAACCTGGCCCCAGATAAGCGGATGTAAATGGATGGATGGATGGATGGATGGATGGATGGCACTCAGCTTGTGGTGCTCTAAGTGCCAAAAAATATATTTGAAAAACTCAACGGCAATTTCTCTTTCCAGAAATCATGACCAAGTTACTCAATATAATCTGCAGACCTTGTTGTGAGCAGTTTTATGTAGCCTAGGAACTATTTTCTTTCTACTGAACTAAACCTGCTAACCATACAACTGTGCAGAAGGAAGTGTGCATCTACTGCTGGCTCACCTAGTACTACCAGGAAGAGCACCGGGCTTTGAATCCAATTTTCATAGTGGCCAAACAGTGGAATTACAACCTCCAGGTTCATCGCATGATGCCATTGGGCCCAAAAAGACTTTTTCCCATAGAATTACATTGGGAAAGAGACATCTGGTAATCAGTGGATACATTTTTTTGAGCATCTCAACACCTGAAAACTGACTCGTTTCACTATCAGGATTTGGTGCGGTAACATTTGAAAAGTTTAGAGGAGCCACAAGATTAAGGCATTTTTACCTCCATTCAAGTTACCGGAGTGCTAAACTGGAAGGAGCTGGCCTGGCCGGCGGAAGTCTCCAGAGCTCCTGTTCTTTGGGCCCATTGATGCAGAAACAGCACCGATCAGCCTCCAATGTTGTATCAAGGTCTCTTATCAAGGTTGCGTTTTTCAAATTATTATTTTGGTGCTTTGAGCACCACAAGCCTGATGCCATCTAGTTCAGTGGTTCCCAACTGGTGAGTTGTGGTCCAAAAGTGGGTCGTGGGTCCATTCTGTGGCTCGCAAACATGTCAGCTTTGTAAAAAACACACTTTATTTCTAAGTACAGTGAATGTCTTGCACAGAGCTTTTATTTTGAAGTGCCATTTTCTGCTGTAGAATGAGTGACTAACAGACACCTACTTGACAGAGACAGAAAAACTAGCTTGACAAAAAGGCCAAATGCAAGTATGACACTGAATGTATTAAACTGTGTGGACCTTAAACAAATGACTAAGGAGAAATTTGGACCTTGTGGCTTGACCAGTTGGGAACCACTAGTTCCATTATATTGGAGAGAAGGCAGACATCTCTACAGCCAATATTGCCAACACTGTGGCTTAATGTTTCTCTGGCTACTGAAAAATCAGACACATTTAACACACGTTTAAAAACTGAGGAACTCACAGCATGCTGTCTGATCACCATTCACTGTGTCCTCCTTACCTACAGTAGACACAGTGATGATATTTTCAGAAATCTGTCAGTCCAGAGCCACAATATAGCTAAGTGTGCTGACTGGTTCTGCTCTGCTGCCATCATCAACCCTGACTCCTCTGTTTGTCACCAGGATGTGGAGAGAGGATCGAGAGCACCATGGGGGCGTTCACACAGTGAGTACCAAACTCAAGTGGTGAGCTGCTGCTCTCACAAAATGGACTTTTCAGAGAGACTGTGGAAGCCAGCCATTTGGAATTACAGATAGGTGGACAGAGCATTCCAAATTGGGCCCCTGTTTCACACCCACTCCAGCATCACCGACATCCATCCACCCTTAGCTCTAATACCACAGACAGGCAATTTTAAATGGTCTGACTACAGGGAATCATCATTATACATGAATACAGTTGGGCTTATTGATATCCACAAGTCTCAGTTTTCCAGTCATACCCAAACTATGCAGTTCTAAGACTGCTATGGGACCCCAGTATGCAGGAATATTCAAATGTACCATTTAATAAAATCACAATGCCACACAATTTTTTTCTTGACAAAATTTAGCTGAACTCTGAAGCATAATTTAGCACCTTATGGCATGACATTCACTCTAGCTACAGTGGGTGTTGATCACTAGTCTGCCTAGCTCCCCACCTTTGCCATGTTTAGCTTCGCTTGGTGCTTTGTCACACTTTTTTGGCCAGAAATTTGGCCATTGCCTCTCTGCTCCTTTCGTTTTCTTGTTCTCTTTGTTCCCTGACATTTATTTTTTGAGCCCTTTATTTTTGGTGACTTAGCAAGTCAGTAGCTCCCTTCTCATCTTTAGTATGTTCTGCACATCTGACTCACTGTTTTTACAATAACTGTTAGAGGTGGGGAATCAGATGACAAGTTTAAAATGATGACAGTAAATTAATTTATCATGTAAATACACAAAGCTTGTATTGTCAGTGATATAAGTCAGTGGGTAACTTGTTGTATGTGATCCCATGTATGTAACAAATGGTAAACCACGTGACAGTGGACTCAAACAAACGACTCTGGAGACAGTTCAGGTAAAATAACTTTACTGGTCAAAAGGTAGGTTGGGAACACAGATGGTCTATCAGTGGAGGCAAACAAATCCAATAGGGATGAGGCAGAGGCAGAGTCAAGCAACAGGCTAAAGCCAAAAAGCCAAAAAAGGGACACTGGGAAACAAAAGGCCTGAATGCTAGACACATAAGGCACTGAGAGAAAACAAGACACACACTAAATACTCTGGTGAGGGGAAGGATAACGAGACACAGGTGAGGCTAATCAGGATAGGACAGACAATCAGACACAGGTGAGGTTATCAAAAGGGAGGGAAAACACACAGGGGCAGGAAGTGAACCGATCTGAAACAAGATAAGTAGTGAGTTTCAAAGTGCAAGTAAAATTTAAAAAATAAAAACATGACCAGAAACTTGAGCTGTGACAATGTAAGGGTCAGCCTTTGCATGGTCCCCCCACTGAGGACAGGCCTAAGACCAACTGAGCACGATCAAGTTTACTCTGACTCCATCTTTTTTTTCTAATCAGGCAGAAACTGTGATGTGAGTAATTATCCAGCCTTATGATATGTTTTACAGTATATGTCATAAAAGAGGGATTAGGTCAGGCAATTTACATTTAGCATCTTTTCATTTGCAAGCATCGAGTGCTGTCTAATAAACTGTCACTGTGAGATTTTAGGCTTAACAACAGATTATTTGGAAATCTATCTGCAAAAATATGCACTTACCGCATAACATAAATCCTAGTAATGAAGATATCAAAGATGCTGGTTGTCTGGGCTGCCTAAAAATGCACCCAATGATGTGCTGCACAAAATGTTTGCAAGATTTGTGCCTCATAAAAAACAGTAAATATGCAACACTGTGTACTTGCTACATGAATTTTCTTACATCCTTTCACAGTTGGACATTTTCTTGGACAACATTTTAAGAGATTGGCTCCAGTTCAGAGGGCAGGAACAGCAGAAAGATCTCTTTCTGTGCAGGCAACAAATGCATGCATTCTCATTTTTATCTTTCCTCCATATGCACCTCTGTCTGCAGTGCGGTGGAACAGGGCACACAGATGCTGGAGATGGATTGTCACTTGACTCGCGATGGACATGTGGTGGTGTCACATGATGAGAATCTGCTGAGGCAGACCGGCCACGACGTCACCATCTCCTCACTCAATCTACAGGTGGGAAGACGGATCCTACAGGTCTGTTGGTTAGGTAAAAGGTCACAAGGTCACACTGTGATACAAGCTCCTGCCAAACAAATGGTGGTTTTCTTGCTTATTTTCTTTAGTCCACCACATTGGCATGGAAGGGGTCTGTCTCATAAAACAAGAGCATGAGATTCTCATCTTGGCTTCAAACATATATAATTAGCAAAGCCTCTATGTTTCAAGTCAGTCATCTGCTCCACTTTAACTGCAATGTGTGAAACAGTGGCATGCAAAGCCAAATGCACACTTTAAATTTGATCCCTTGAAGCCATGTCTCACACAGCAGGTTTCTAAACGAGCAAGTTACTATATTAGGTAAAACCTGGAACTGCATCTTTTACTTCTTTGTGTGTTTTCACTGCAGTTTTTCAACTAACCTTATTAATGCTGCTGTGAGCTACAGGCCCCTGAACTGATGCCATAAACATACTTTGTCATGTGTTGTAACAGATTAAAACACACAAAAACCTGCTACAGAGTAAATGTTTAGTATCGGATTACCTTCAAGTAAATGTTTGACTTTGCATACAACTGTGTCATATGCAGCAAATCCACTGCATTACACCAAGAAAATCCCAAGATGCATGTTGTTTTCAAGGTAATCACAAGCAATATCATAATAGTATATTTTTATGTCTTAATACAACTGTTAATCAACTCTTTTAGGATATGCCTCTGTATAAGGAGAAACTGGAGGTGACATTTTACACAGGTGAGTTTCTCCTCTCATTCGTATATTCTCAATCATTAACAAAAAGCCACACAATGAACAAGTCGGTCAGTAATATGTGTGTGTGTGTGTGTGTGTGTGTGTGTGTGTGCGTGCGCGCGCATCGACAAGAGTATGTGTAACCTTTAGTTTCAACCCCTCCCTCCTCCAGGACGCTACAGCAGCGGTGCAGACAGGAAGTTCGCTTTGCTGGAGGACGTGTTCAGGAAGTTCCCTGACACGCCTGTCAGCATTGAGATTAAGGAGAACAACAAGGAGCTGATAGAAAAGGTACTTAGCAGAGCAGTTTCAGCACTTTCCCAGTTATATCAGATAATCTCCAAAGTATGAAAGTGTTCATGCTTTTGTGATGCTCAGCAACTACCCAATCAAATGTCAAGATTATCTCTGATGATGAGATTTAAAGGTCCAGTGTGTAGGATTTAGGGAAATCTGTTTGCACAAATGGTGTATAATAGTCATTGCTATGTTTTCATTAGTTTGTTATGACCTGAAAATAAGAATTATTGTTTTTTCATTACCTTAGAGTGAGCTGTTTGTATCTACATACAGAGCAGGTCCTCGTCCATGGCATTTGTCATGTTGTTCTGCAGTAGGTCAGAATGGATAAACCAAACACTGGCTCTAAACTATGCATTTTCGTGTCGGCCACCATAATTCTCCTACAGCAGGCTTGTCCAAAGTCCAGCCCCACTCCAACATAACAACATATTGCTGCCGTGTTACAGGGGCTGTAATAACTACAGATGTTACTGCTCTGATTGCATTAAAAAAGTAAACTTTTTCCACTCAGATTTTATGCTCCTGTAGGAGTGTTCTTTATGACAGTTTTACCTAAAATTATATTTAAAAAATACCACAATATATTGCCTTGCATTGCTGGGGAGACGGACGTCTGGGATGCTTTGCTTGGTCTGCTGCCCCACGACCTGGCCCCAGATAAGCAGACAATCCCATGTCTTGATACATATCGTTTCGCCAGATTATTGCCAATACACAGCCCTACAGCAAAGAAGCATAAAGTGAGAGTGAGGGCTGTGGCTTTTATAGCGGTGGAAAATGGAATTCTTTTTCACTGAAAGACGAACCATTTGCTTTGTCTCATTTGTACAGGATTATTTTTAAATAACCCATATGATGCGAGAAGCAGCTGGCTCCCAGGTATTTTCACATGTTCTAATCTGGCCCCCATTTTAAAAAATCTGGACACCCCTGTCCTACACACTTGGCACACAGGAGAAGTGTGAAGTGTGGAGAAGAAGGGTGTAAGTCTATAGGATGTCTGTAAGATAAGCAGGAAAAGGATTATGAAGAACTTTTAATGTAGACATTAAGATTTTTTTAAACCAATTTATTTATTTGGTTTTTAATAGACAGTATCATTTTTTAAAAAAGTAATCACCATATTCCTCTTTGCAAAAAGAGAGAAAAATAAAACAAATAAAAAATAAATTAAAATTAAAGTCAAAGTAAAAAAAAACAAAACATAAAAATCATTAACATATGTTGCGGTTAAAGAGGCACATTTTGCACTGATTTGACAGAGGATAAATACATTTACAACTGCTAAACCAAGCATGTGATAAAAGGCTGCTATATTTAAAATAATCTGTTAATAATAAGCTTTAAAAGGTAATCTGATAAACTTTAAAACTGTTGTTGTTTTAAAACTCCCAACATATAAACATAGTCTATTTTGAAGCCAATACTTCCTACCTGTGAGCATTTGTTTAACCTCTAAAAGTAGGCTGATGCACCGTAATATCTCATTGTACCATCACCACCTTCACATTTCATCTGTGACTCTCCTGTCTGTGTGCAGGTGTCTGACTTGGTCAGACGCTACAACAGGGAGGAAATCACTGTCTGGGCCTCTGTGAACAGCAGGATCATGAGAGAATGCCGCAAAACGGTACATAGACCACCTGGGGGAGACAGAGCTACTTGTGCAGCATTTTACAGTTAATACACAGACAGTATTACATTTTTGCCTCTTATAATATTGTTTTTGCTTAATCTGAAGAGCAGGAATAAAACTGTAAACTGTTTCTGTCTGACTGACTGTCTGTCTGTTGTCTTCCTCATAGAATGACTCGATGCCGTACAGCTTCACTGTGCACCGAGGTGTCTTGCTTCTTCTTCTCTTCTACAGTGGCCTGCTGCCCTTTGTGCCACTGGGAGAGAGTTTAGTGCAGTGCTACCTGCCACGCATCATCAACAGGTGTGCCTGCAGGAGTGTGTGTCTCTGCATGTTGAGTCCATGTGTGTGTGTTCATGCATGTAAATCCTTCCTCCCTCTCTTTGGCTGCAGGCCATTAATACATTAATCTGGTTTTATCCTCTAAGATTATTCGTCTCTAATCTTATGTTTGGTGTGAGATGAATGTGTCACAGTACAGATGCGTCTTTTGTTTTTCTCTCTGTTTTTGTGTGCTGAAGGACGTTCATTCCTAAGAAGCACGTCCTGAGGAACCCACTGATCATCTCCCTGATAGAAAAGTGAGTAAAGTTTCCGTTGCAGCCTTCCTTTGACTGACTTTGTGTTGCTGTAGGAATCTAAAATAATCATGAGAGAATCATTACCAGTAACATGTTCCAGAAAAAAAACTTACTGAGAACATTAGAGTACATGGGGTGATGCTTTTTTTTTTTTTTTTGCAGAATAACAACATTTTGGAGTATTATGATACAGTTTATATATCAGTAAATTCTGGACTATTTTTTACTATTGTTTGTGTAAAAACTGAATTATTCATATATTAATTTATGCTTTCGTTACAGAGTAACAATGAGGAAGAGTCTTTTTAATCACCTGGCAGCCCGGGGAATTCAGGTATGAAACCACATACATACCTCATCCAAACACTGCTCTGCTGTAAGTAAGTGTTTTTAGATGAGGTGTGTGAGGATGCATGATAGGATATAGGGTTATGTGATAAGTGTGAGTGACAATGGCTATGGGGGAAGCTCTATAGTTAGTTTCAGTTTTGTTTTATCAACTGTTATCTATTTTTAGTTATTTTTGTTTTATTTGATATGTATTTATGTTAAAGTATTTCTATATTTTCTTTATTTTAAACTTTATTTTTATTTTTGAAATGCAGTGTTACTATATCCTTCGTCAGTGCAGATCAATATGCAAACAATGAGAGCAAAAAAGAAAACCTACATAAACAAATAGGTAAATAAATATGTAAACATTGTGTGAGAGTGAAAAAAAGGAAACCTACAAAAAATAGATAAATAAATATGCAAACTCAGAGGGTTTTTGGTTCATGACCTGTCTGATAAACCATCTGTAAACTCAAATAAAATATGAACCATTTAAAAAATAAATGTTATGTTGAGCCACTGGTGTTGAAAACCTCCGCTGGGTGACTTTGAATTGTATTTAGCCTCCTAAATCCTTCACCTGCAGATTTCGTCATGAATCTATCAGTGCAAAACCTCAAATCATAATTCCCATCTGCAAAAACAAGAAGGGTTTTTTTCCCTTGTTACTGCATCATCTGTAAGACTCAATTTTACCAAAGCACTTAATAGTTAAATGCCCATTACATTTAAGTATTTCAATGAACAGTAACACTCGCATAGCCTCTCTGAATGTCTAGGCTGCATCACCCCTGTCCTGATGTGAGTAATCTCTGATGGGATGAGGTCACCTCCATCATCTGGCCATGAGTGGTCACTGAATAGTTTGAGCATGAAAACAGTTGCAGTCATATGTCGTAGCATTGTCAGCTGCTGAGGGAGCGTATTTGAACACTCATGGGTGATTCTGAGGTAGTGACTAAGAAAAGCTCTCCCCCTCATCATCCACACAAAAACAAGAAGGATGCGGTTCCCTCCAGAAAAGCCCCACATTCCTGGTAAAAAAAAATAAAAAAATATATTCAAATAAACACAAGAAGTTTGTGCTCTAATTAAAAAAAAAAAAAAAAAAAAAAAGGGATCAGCACCCAGTGAATAATCCTCCTAAGCCCTACGATAAGCTATTATGGCAAGGCTTAACTATACAGACCCGTGAGCAGTGATAACTAACATGTCTTTGGGGTCATCGGGTGGGAACCTCCTTTCACCGGTGTTTCGTCTAGTTAGTCCCACGACACCTCCAGGAGGCTAGACAGTGATCACTGGCGTCCCAGAGACACTCCCCTAATGCCAGGTCTCACTGCTCCCCACACTAACCGAACAACCTCCTTTACCTTACCTATACTACCACAGAGGAGGTAGACCCAGGGAAGGAAGCCTTGTTAGGCTATCACACTCCCCCGCCGGGTTAGGCTGTACAGTCTACCTCCCCAGGACGAGCCCTCACAACAATGACACCTCCAGGAGGCTGGACAGTGATCTCAGCCCAAACAGCACTGCCAACTTCAACCAAGCCCAGGCTCCGTTTATGCGAGCTCCAGGCAGAAGCAATGCTGATACTACCTTTACTAGCACATTCACCATACTCTATTTCACACGCTACATAGCATAACTACAATGTAAGCTAAAGTTAAAGGAGATAAATGAACTCACAGGATCAGCAAACACACTCACTTTGCAGCATGGTCTCAAACAAAATGGATTCAAATAGGCCACTCCCACACTTAAATAACCTTCCTCTTCCTGGATTTCCTTCTTACTTACACATGGCTTTCTCAGCCCAAACAGCACTGCCATCTTCAACCAAACCCAGGCTCCATACATGCGAGCTCCAGGCAGAAGCAATGCTGATACTAGCTTTCCTGTCACATTCACCATACTCTATTTCACACACTACATAGCATAACTACAATATAAGCTAAAGTTAAAGGAGCTAACTGGACTTACAGGATCAGCAAGCACACTCACCTTGCCGCATGGCCTCAAACAAAATGGATTCCAATAGGCCACTCCCACACTTAAATACTTCCTCTTCCTGGATTTCTCCTGACAGGAAGTGGATCTCTCCACCTGATCTCAAGGAGTTATGTGCCCTGCTTAGTAGTTCCCCCTGCTGGCCCCCAGCTGACATTATTTCTTCTGTAATAGATAAACTGGCTGCATTTAATTGCTTCATCTGACATTTCCCTCACTGTCTTCCTCAAATTCTGTCCCCGCACTCCGAGTTCCCCCAGGAGTGAGACAGTTGATCTTGCTATGAATCCCCTACACCCCACTTCCACTGGACAAATCCTAGTCTTCCATCCTCGCTGCTCAGCTTCTGCTCCTAAGTCTGCATATCTAAGCTTTTTTCTTTCATAGGCTTCTTCCACTGAGTCTTCCCAAGGAACTGTCAGCTCAATGAAATAAACTATCTGTTGACTCACTGACCACAACACTAAGTCAGGCCTCTGCCTGGTACAGACTATTTCCTGAGGAACAACAAGCTTTCCCCCTAAATCTACTTGCATTTCCCAATCACAAGCACCTTCTAGGCGGCCACACCCTTGCCTCCTCACTAACTTATCCCTTCTGTATTTCTCTCCCTCACGGACAAACTGAATTACTAAGCCCCTATCCTTAACACCTTCTGAATTCACCTGTCTTCGTTTCCCTTCGATGCCTGCAGCTAAACATTTCAACACCTGATTATGTCGCCATGTATATCGGCCTTGTGACAAGCTAACTTTACAGCCTGACAAAATATGCTTTAAAGTTGCGGTACGTGAACACAATGGGCATGATGGGTCCTCATTTACCCACAGTTTTAGGTTCTGGGGGGTTGGTAACACATCGTATGTAGCCCCTACCAGGAATCTAATACGATTCTCCTCCATACTCCACAGGTCCCTCCAACTAAGCTTCCTCTTCTCTACACTTTCCCAATTCAACCACTGTCCCTGTTTAGCCTGGGCCACTACCTTTGCACCCCTTACTATCTCTTCCTGTCTGCGTATCTGTTCTACAACCAGCTTTCTTTTATCTTTGAGGCCTGCTGTATTCCATACCGGTTTACCTGAGCCAAGCCCCAGGCCTCCCCGGCCAAACTGAACATTACCTACAATCTCTGCATGTCTAAGAGCTGCCTCTGCCTCCTGAACTGCCGATCTTGGGTTCCACTTCCTCCCCTTGGTTGGATTTGGAACCACACTCCTAACTACCACGTCCTTACTCCCAGATAACAAGAGCTCTGTCCTGACCTTGGTACATTTAAATTCCTCTGTTAAACTAGATACTGGCAGCTGAAGTATCCCTTTTCCATACAATGCAACACTACTTAGGCACCTAGGAGCGCCCAACCACTTCCTAATGTAGGAGCTAACCGACCTTTCCATTCTCTCCACAACAGATATTGGAATTTCATAAACTGACAATGGCCACATTAACCTAGGATATAGCCCAAATTGCAAACACCACAACTTCAACTTTCCTGGAAGTTCTGATTTATCTATTCTATCCAATCCTTCAGCCACATCTTTTCTAAATTTCACCACCTGTTCCTTATCATTCAACTCTACATTGTACCACCTACCTAAGCTCTTTACTGACTTTTCCCTAATTGTTGGGATGTCCTCATCATCTATGACAAACTTCCTATCACTTAACTTCCCTCTACATATAAGAATTTGGAATAACAGGATAACTTGAAATATCTGTGCTTCCACCATGATTCAGCAATATTTGATACAAAGTCAAAAAAATTATGTATTTTTTCCCCCTAATATTAAGGAATCCATCACATATTAATGAACAGTGTGTAAGATAATGCTAAGTTAAAGTGACAGTTCACCCCAAAATACAAAAACTAACATATTTTTCCTCTTACCAGCAGTGCTATTTATAAATCTGGATTGTTTTGGTGGGAGCTGCCAAGTGATTTCAGCTGTAGAGATGTCTGTCTTCTCTCCAATATACTGTAATGGAACCAGATGGCACTCGGCTTGTAGTGCTCAAAGCGCCAAAAAATACATTTGATAACCTCAACAGTAATGTCTTTTTCAGAAGTCATGATGCGGTTAATCAAGATAATCCACAGACCTTGTTGTGAACAGTTTAATGTAAGGAATTATTTTCTTTTGAACGACACTCCCCAATTGTATCACAGCGCAGAAGGAAGTGTACATCTACTCTCTGTTCATTATTTTGCATCTACATAATTTAATGTTAACTACATTCATATATTGTTTACATATTTTAAATTTGGAGCTATTCAATATCGCACACCTTACATGCAGGTAATGAAAGACATGATAAAGTTTGGCAGAGTGATATATGATGTGAGATGCCACTATTGTTGTCAATTTCAGTTGTCCTACGTTCTTTTTTGGACAGTAAATTGGATCACGTTACACAGAGAAGCTGTCCCTGTGCTCTTACTTCACTCACAACCCTCTGATAGTTAATTCAGTTACTACTTAGTTTATAGGTAAAACAGGAGAGAGAAACCTGCCTTACATTAGCTAGCTCAGTGGTGCTAGGTGAGCGAGCAGTAGATGCACGGTTGATTCTGCAAAGTGATACGGTTGGCAGGTGTAGTTCACTAGGGAAATAAAAAGTAGTTGAAACTGCTCACAACAAGGTCTGTGGATTATCTTGAGTAACCCGGTCATGATTTCTGGAAAGTGACATTGATGTTGAGTTTTTCAAATGTATATTTTGGTGCTTTGAGCACCACAAGCCGAGTGCCATCTGGTTCCATTATATTCAAGACAAGGGAGACATTGCTACAGCCGATATCTCCAACACTCTGCAACTCACACCAAAACAATCTAGACTGATAAATAGCACTACTTGTAAGAAGAAAAATATTTATTTTTGATTTGGGGTGAACTGTCCTTCAAGTTTATTTCTAACATTAGGGAATATCTCAGTGCTACTGGCATTTATATCTGTCATTTGTCCACACTGCCGTCTGAAAGAGTGCTCTGAGCTCAAAGGTCTTACTTTATGCTGATGTCAGCTGTATTCTGGCTGTCAAATCTGAGACAACTGCCACTCTCCAAATTTAGGACAACGGGGTTTGTATTTTTTGATGGTGAAAGCATGTACTGTTACTCAAAACTGCAGGAAGGATGACAGGGAGACAGATCACTCTGATTTTAACTCAGCTTTATTTCTTCAATGTTTGAGATGTAGATAACACAATTTTAATTATGTTTTTGAGCTGTTTGGCCTCAAGGACTCTGAACAGCTCATTACCATTGATTCATACACTGTATCTGTAATTCCAGGTGCATTTGTTTGTGTGCAATGAAGATGAAGACATAAAGGCTGCATTTGAAGTGGGAGCCACAGGGGTGATGAGTGACTACCCGACTCTTCTCTCAAGCTACCTCTGCAGAAACAGGAGTCAGGATTGACCCCAAACACGCCCTCACATGACCACAATTATTAACTCAGAAACAGCAGCCGTCAGATGAATGAGGATTCTGTAAGGAAAAGACTGTAAAAGAGAAATAAATACAAGAAGTGTGAGATCTATTTCTCCCACTGTGCCCAGATTAGTCAGAGTTGTTGGTCTAACTATTAAACACCATGCATTCAACTCTTCAATCTGAATGCTTATCACTGTTGACAAAATTATCTGCACTTAGGTCATTTCTACAGCCTCCACCCACAGCTTGTCACAGCCCAGAGTTTAAAGGAATACGTCAACCACAAAATAACCTTTTGTTTATTGATATAATTACTCACCCGAGGTTTTGTAGAAGCCATGAAAAAAATTCATTTAGCAACAGCAAAACTATATTGGAAACACCCATGCGCAAACTTTCACACAACTTGTGCTGTATAATCCAAGTCTCATTTATCCATGCCAGAGTCCTGCATGGGTCCATTTTTGAAAAACTGTACCCACCCATACCTGTAAAGCTCAGTGCCAGACCTGACTTATCATTATTAGCCATTATGTCTGCCATAAACCACACCACTTGCACCCAAGTCCCACCAAGTCCCAGGACCCGACTCTCATTAAGATGGGTTCTTCATCCTTGAATTACAAATCCTGCAAAAATCTTTCACTGGCTGCACTCGATGTCAGGATGGCAAAAACATACCGCTGCCAGGTTATGAAACATTTTAGCATGCTCTTTCCACCACCATAAAAACTCAAAAGGATCCTCCTCAGATGTCTTGAACTCGATGTAGGCTGCCACCTCATCCTCAGACTGCAAAGTTTCATGGCTGGATTCAAAGGGTCAACTTGTGTCACTGATTTTTAAAATAAAAGGTATTGCAGCCTGATAATAGTGATGTCAAAAGATGTAAAAATATTACACATATACTGCACATCTTTTTCATTTGTTTTATTCTGAAAAATAAATAAATATATTTTTGTTCTCACCTGCTGCCCGTCTGCATGTAGTTCATTTTTACCCGTGCTTGTACCCATGTATTTATACTGTATGTACGTATGTACAAATTGCTCAGCTTTTTGCAGGTTACCCATCGAGTACCCAGTGCGGGACTCTGAGCCGTTTTCAATAGAATATATGAGCAGAGTTTAAACACACACACTTGCTAAGGTGTGCTTGTACTTGAAAGTGTTTTAAATCATGACGTTTAAGCAAAAATGTGTTTTGGAAGTGTTGGGTGTACGACTGATATATGAGACTTGGATTATACTGCACAAGTTTTTTGATATAGTTTTACTGGTTTTAAAAGTGGATCCCTTTTACTCAAAAACTTCAAGAATTTCCCTGTTTTTTTTTTTTCTTTTTGTGCAACTCAGCAACACAGAAAAAAATTTCTTCATAAATTCAGTGTAACATCAGGTGAGTAACTGATGTAGAAATGGATATTTTGTGGGTGAAGCATTCCTTTAAAGAAACAATCATTTATTTTTCTCAGCAATAAATCAAAAAATGCTTTATTAGTGCTCTGGGACAAAAAGGTGACAAATGTGAGGGACAATTACGGTCGACAACCATTATGTTTTTGTGGGAGAGGTAATTGCAGACAAGTTCACTCAGTTTTAGTGTGTGTTTGTGCATGTGTGACAGATTCTTGGGTTGGAGGAGGGCCAGCAAGATCCACCAGCACCCTCATTTTCTCAGTTTTAGGTTGTTGTAGGGTTTCCAATGTGATCCTTTGTGTCTTGTTCTTTAATATTTGATGATGATGATGTTGATTTGAGTCTAATGATTTAAACCAGGTAATAATTGGTTGAATTGGAATCACTGGGATAAATAATTCATTTTAGGGCAGGGTTGTCAAACTCATTTTGGTTCATTGGCCACACACAGTGGCCAATGAACCAAAACTTTCCCCCCTTTCTTTTAATGTAAAGAAAATGTTAATCCAATACAGATAATACACAGCCTGAGATTGTACTGAAAAACAAGTGCTTTAGCATGAGTCGTTATACCAACAAAGTCACCTGTGACCATGCAATGATGTAGGGTGTCTGCCCCACTATAAACCCCTACATCATCACACACTCTGCTCCCACTGAATTTTCTCCCCAAGATTTTGAGTGACAGATAGCTCTGGCAATCATCCACAATTCAACAAGTGACAAATGACAATATTTTGCACAATGTTTAGTATTCATTGTTTTTCAGACAACTGTATTCTGGTCAGGGTGGAAAAACCTCTGATGTAGTATTTTACATGAAGCTTCTCACTGTTTACTCCTGACACCTGGCAGCTCTCAGCCTTCACAACTGCACCAAAATCAGGTGAGCAAATTCATCCAGTGGGCTGGATTGGCCCATTTGGCAGCCGGTTCTGGCCCATGGGCCGCATGTTTGACATCCCACATAACTATTCTACCCATAACAGATATTTGTGAGTTCATCCAGCATTGGAGATCATCATTTATTTTTATAAGCAGTGGGGTGAAGTTTAGATTGAACAGCTCTGTCAGCCTGGGGGAAATCTGAATCCCCAGACATGTGATGTGACCAGTGGGAGAGGTGGTGCAGCGGCTGTTGCATCCCAGCTGTTGTTGCTTTTTCTTCATCAAGGAACATTATGGTGGTTTCTGTTTGCTGTTTTAGATGAGTACTGTATTAAATTAAACAGACTGCATGTATTTCACAGTGAGTAATTTAATAAAAAGCTTGCTCTGGATGGATTATGGGAGGAATCACCTTCTCTAGTGTGTGACTCAGAGCTCTACTTATGATGTTAATCTCTGTGTTGATGAGTGAAATGAGACAGTAGCTGTGTGGCAGAGTCAAGTCATTGTTCTGTTTAAAACAAGTGAAATTTTGATGGCATTCATATTTTTTGGTAGTCAGGAGTTTTGCTTTATTCCAGTTATCAGTCTCAGAGGAAGCAGCGCTGCGACGGTGCAGAAGTGTTTACAGTTGGAGTGAATATTTAACCAGCTGGACCATATCACCTGACGACCCATTTCTCATGATAAGAGAGTAAACGTGACTTTGTTTTGACTGTGTCTGTTATTTTCTGACATTATTTGACTGGTTTGAGTAAGTGCTTATGAAATAAATGATCTGGGACAGTTCACTTCAGTTTATGCTTTTATATTCTTTTGTGCGATATTACAATGAAGAGCACTCAAACATGGAGTTGGAAATTAAAGTAAAGGAATTAACTTTTTACAAATATCCATATAGGTGAGTGCAGTGTTATTAATATCTAGGTTGTGTTTTTGCATCTGTGTTCAACAGTCACTCATCTAATGTACGTGCAGTTAGCCTCACCTGGGTCCTTGTTTTCCCAGGCTTGGGTTAAAGTCCAGCCACACCGCTGTGATAATAATCAACCGGCCTGTTGGCGAAACAAAGGCTGTATTTTTCTGACCTGCTTGGCTGTGCTTTGCAGTGTGACAAATGGGTTAATGGAATATAAGTGGATCAGTGCAGACCGAAGTCTTAATACAGTAGATATGCAAAGAGCAAAGGTCTGAATTAGTGACCCAGCAGAGAAGTTAGGCTCTTAATCACACAAACAGGGCTGTTGCTGCCATAATACATAATATTACATATAGTATTTGGGGGAATCTAGTAAATTATTGACATTAAAGGAATAGTTTACCCACAAAATGATAATATGAAGATTAATCTGTCATGCCATGTTACATTGAAATCATGAAGAAAAGTGTTTGACATATTGATTTATTACTTGGGGACCACGTTTAACAACAGCAAAACTACTCTTAAATGTGGTCGGGGTTGTTGTCACTCACTGCTCCGTCCAACACTCACTGAATTTCCTCATTACCGGTGACAGAGGGGAGTCTGCACCTCGTTTATTGTCCACAGAACGAGGCTGCACACAGACATTTTCAGAACAAAATAAAACAGGCTGCAGTGAGAGTCTCTCTCGATAGGATATTTAAAAATAGCGGGTTTTTGCATTTAGTCCTTCCCAGGAAAGCTCAGGGGTTTAGTGTTGCTGGAGCTCACAGGCCTTTTTTTTCAAAGTTAGGATTGGAATATATGCAGTTCATATAACCCAGTTGAAATTAATATATATAAATGCTTGAAGATCCACTCATTACTAAAAATGTATGTCATATAAAAACTAAAGTGATGGTCAAAGTTGTTATCAAAGTTGAAATCTAAGGTGTGATGATGGATTCACATCAACTCATACATTGAGTAACATTACAAGTTGACACTTCACCTTAAAAGTTGCCGGCAGTCGGCCCAGTGAATCATTATTATGAGTTATTTTTTTCTCAGTTTAAAGCTGCTGCAAGTAGCAGCACAACATTCTTTCATTTTATTGTTATAGCCTACTAACTACTTTTGCCTACTAACTTTCCATGGTATAAACAGTGGTTACATAAGCCTCAAAACAAACCTCAACTCTGCCCTGGGCAGACTGACTGTACGTTATTGACCAATCAACAGACTGCAGTGTTCACAGCTCCATTTTTTAGCACCAGATCTGTGTGCTAGGTACCCCAACAGAGGGGTGACCAGAAATGGGGACGGTACAGAACGGTCACATTGGTACCATCCACAACTTTTCACAGTGGAACCTGAAAAAAAGCACACTGAACTGAACTGTACCGCACTGCTAGGTGGAAACAATGCTTAAATGACCACAAAACCACAAAAAGATGCAGCAAAAAAAAAGAAAAACTACCACAAAGTCTTTATCTTGTTCCTATGTAAAAGAGGTGGTGGGGCCTTTTGCATATCTGTGCCCAAGGCCCCATTGTCTCATAATCTGCTCATGCATATGTTTATATGACTTTTCTGTTGTTTATTCTTTTGCATAACAAGCGTGGTAGTAAATGAGATACTCATGAGAATATGCTAAGTGAAAAGGGTAGGTTTAACAAGCTTAAACTACACCTTTTCAGTCTACATTTTCTATTTTCCTTTTGTTTTGTTTTTTACTTTTAATTTAATGCCTTGTCTTTATTATGCGCATTTCTCCTGGAAAATTGTTAACAAGAGCCAAAACAGATTACCATTACCATATAATAGGGAAGAAAACACACAGCTCCAAGACAGTCATACAAATAAATCAAGAAACCACAACCAAACCCCCTCCCCATCCTTCTTGTCAAAGATATTGAAGGTTTCCTGAGTCTCGTCACATAACCACAAATATTTGTTCCTTACGCTGTGCACGTTTGATCAGTTTGCAGCCAGTCTAAAGGACTTTTATCCCAAATCCACCAGCAGGATGTGATAATGACCCACCAGCAGCATTTATGAGACTGTACCAACAATCAAACTGATAGCCATAAAGGGCTCATGTGAAGTCGAATCTGATTGGTTGACCCACATTCTAGACGTCACCCGCCGCCTCCCATTGGTCGACGGGGATTTGTTTTGCACTCTTCAGACTTCCTCCTGCGTGTTTTCATAAACAAACCACATTTTTCTCCCGCCGGGGCCGCAGCGCAGTCATCCTGTCAGCCTGCCAGCATTGTCGGACTCCAGCTCCCGTTTCAACGAAGGCCGCGAAGGAGCTTTTGAAAGCGGGCTCACATTCAAAGGAGAGACGCGGGTAAACGCTGCAGCGACCAGAGGCTGTGTGTGTTGTCTTTATTGTCCGAGCCGTCCGCTCGTGGTCGACCGTTGCACCGAGCCGACCTGCTGCCCACAACAGTACCCTGCTTAAAATAGATGCTTTTCGGCTGTCAGCCGCATTGGTCCGCTGTGTAGACTCCGAGGAGCTTCTGTACTATCAGGTGAGTCGACGTACACCGGGGAATATCCTGCAATGCGCATCTAGCTGCTGTGTGTTGTGACAATGCGGAGCTAGCCCGCTAGCTAACACGTAAGCTAGGTCAGGGAGCTAGTGGCCGATCTGTGCTGCAGCTGACAGATGTGTCAGGCCGTTTGTGACAATATATAGACACTGACAGACGGTCACCAGGGTTGGACGCAGCGTACATGGCGCAGCACACGTTGCAGGGGCTTGAATTTGGGTTAACTGATTGCATCTGACGAGGCCAGGGTTGTTTGTGCTACCTATTTTTATTAACCAGGAAGCAAGCTGCCTGTTAAACTGTGTTCCTCCGAACCAACCTACCACAACTGATTTTTATTAATAAATAACAATACGTGTCACCACAGTAACAATAACAAGTTATATGAGCACTGCATGTTTTCTACTAGGGCTGCCATTCAGTTATTGTCCCACACTATACACCTTTTTTTTCACCTTCTTGTATATAGTAGCTCTGTGTTTGATTAATAATTTGGTCTACAAAACACCAGAAGACTATCAAATGTCTTGTTTTGTCCAACCAACATTTCAGTGTTGTCATATATTTCTTATTTCTGTTATATATTGTAGCATAATGCACATTTTTTACTTGCATATTTCTGTTTTCTTATCATTTCTCTATGCCTATATACAGTAAAAGAGCAGTGAGAGCAACTGTAACATGTCCTAGTTTCCCTCTGTGGTTTAAAAAAGTACTTTGGCTCTGATTTCAAAATCCCCAACGTATTACATTTATTTATTTTATTTAACCCATATTTAACAATGTAAGCTCCATTGAGATCAACCGTCTCATTTACAAGGGAGACCTGGCCAAGACAGCAGCATGCAAAAAGTTACAGCCAAACAACAACACAATAAAAAACATGAAAGATAGAACACCTACACATAATGAAAAAAAAGCAGCAGATCCTCACATAAAGGGAACTGAAAATATCACTCGAAATATGACAAATGATTGATTCATTCATTCATCTTCATTTAGCTTTGTTGTCTTTGTTTGTAGCTGTATATCTACTTCTGTCTTCCTCTAAATTGTTCTTTAAACTGTGTAGGCACACTGTGAGCAACTTATAAAAACAGAGTCAGATTCCTCGCATATGTGCACATACTTGGCCAATAAAGCTGATTATCATTCATTAATATAGGTTAATCTTTCAAGTGCTGCGTTGGCCCATTGCACTTTCTTGTGTATAATAGTTCTGTGTTTTTTGGTCGTTTTGATTACAAGGGCTGCAACTACTGATTAGGTTTATTGCCAATTAATCTCTAGATTAATTTTTCGATTTAAGGATTAATTGCTTCCAAAGTGCTACAAAATATTAGAAAACAGTGAGAAAAGCCTGTAGAAATATGCCAGAGCCTTAGGTAACATTATCAAATGCCTTGTTTTGTCCCACCAACATTTGCAAACCAAGATATTATTTTACTATAATGTAAGGAAAGCATAACAATCAAATTGCGCTTAACTGACTAATTGTTCCAGCTCTAATTTGTACCTGTCTTTGCTCATCTTTGTTGTCTTTGTTTTTAGCTGTATCATTCTCTACTTCTGTCGTCCTCTAAAATATTTTTTGAACTGAGCCTAGGCATGTCGAGTGCAAGTTAAAACTAGAGCCAAATTCCTTGCATATGTACACATACTTGACTAATGAAGCTGGTTGTGATGTTAAATAGGTTAATCTGCCCAGTGTGTTGGCCCATTTGTGCCAGGAAAAAATAGATGAAATGCTGAAATTATGAAGATTAACACAATCATGGTAAACTGAAATGCTGTGAAATATGGTCAAAATTGTTAGTCAGTCAATTGTGATCTCTAAGAGCAATACTTCAGCCGGAGACCGCAAAACTATATCAAACCATGTGCAGGGTAATCCAAGTCTCATTTATCCAGTTGTATGCTCAGTGCTTCCAAACACATGCATTATTGACTAAAATATTGGTATTTAAAACTGAACTGAAAGTGAAACTTATGAACTCCACTGACAAAAATAGTTATTTCACCATGCACTTCTGCAAAACAACCTTAGTACTGGAATCTAGCTTTTAAGAGAGCATAGATATGTTTCACTTTCAGTTCAGTTTTAAATAGTAACTTTTTTTAGAGCTTAAAAGTAATTAAATAATCTTAGTCTTTGAATTTATGAAGTCTTAATTGCCGCAAAAAAAAAAAAAAATCAAATTTTATATAGCTATTTTTTATTTTCTTTTTGCCAAATGAGTCATGTCTTGTTACTTTATACTTGCACTTATCTGTTGGTAAATGTAGATTAATGTTATGTTATGTTTGTTTCCACATAACACCTAACTGT